GCGCGGAGGGAATGTTACAATGTGTGCAGCCATGTCAGACAATGGCATCCTCACCCATATTCCCCTTCTTGGTCCATACAATACACAACATCTCCTGACCTTTTTAGACACTCTTTACAGGGACATAGTCCCTGAGAATGAGAGGGGTGGAGGCCAACTCAACAAGTATGTTGTTGTGTGGGATAATGTCCGTTTTCACCACTCACATCTGGTCAGGCAGTGGTTTGCAGCACATGACAGAATGCTGGTTGAATATCTCCCTCCCTACTCGCCATTCCTTAATCCGATAGAGGAGTTTTTCTCTGCCTGGAGGTGGAAGGTTTATGACCGGCATTCACATGCGCAAATGGCTCTGCTAGCAGCTAAGGATGCAGCATGTGACGACATCACAGCAGAGTCATGCAGAGGGTGGATTCGCCACTCCAGGAGATACTTTCCTCGCTGCATTGCAAGGGACGACATCCGCTGTGGTGTAGATGAAAATATGTGGCCAGACAGACAGGAACGTCTGGATGTGCCAGAATGATTTAGAATTACAATGATTGCTGATGATTGTAGAATTACAAACAGCCTACACAATAAAAATGTGAAACATACGTATTCAGTGTCTTGTACTCACTCACTTCCCTAACTACAGGAATGCCAAACTTTACTGTAGATTTTACTGTAAATGGCTGTACAAAAAGTGTATAGTGCTGTCTTGAGCATTTTCAGGTAGTGTCACCGAGTTCTGACCTTTTTTTGCATTGGAAAACTGAATACTGTAAACTGTCATAATGAAAACATGACAAAGCCATTTGACTATCTTGTTCATAAAGATGGTGTCAAGACTTCTCATTTTGATGACACTGGCAGTTTCATTGACATGAATACTTGCTTTTGAGGAATGGATTATCGATTTTGAGCAAGTGACCTGCTTTTGCAGGTTATCCACTAGGTTTTGCAGTCTGCACTAATTGTTTTGAGAAATACACTAACTGCTGTGCAAATGTTAATAGTGATGTGAGAAAAGCACCAAAGCGACTGAGAAAAACTGTAACACAGGCTACAACTCGGAAGTGCAGAGGAATGGAAGATAGCCTTGCAGTGTTACCAAGTTGCCCTTTGGCTATTTAGTGTCATCGGTAACAGGTTCTAGATAGATAGATAGATAGACAGACAGACAGATTGATAGATTGATAGACATAGACAGACATAGACAGACATAGATAGATAGACAGATAGACTGACAGACAGACAGATATATAGACAGACAGGCAGATAGACATAGATAGACAGACAGACAGTCAGATTGATAGATAGATAGATAGATAGATAGATAGATAGATAGATACTTTACCAAAGGAAATTTAGGCATGTATCCATGCTATGTACTGTTACTGGAAGGCTCTGTTGTTTTTAACATTATGAGTATTGAGTACTGAGTAATGTTATTGAGACGCTTCTTTTGATAGTGATTGTTATTCGTGGGTTCTTTGAGTGATGAGTATTATTACCAATTGTAGTAATGATGGTGCCTGAGAAGAAGAAGGCACTGGCCAGGTCCCACTGGCTGGAGTAGGCGGAGGCGTTTGTGGTGAGATCTACCCCGGCTCCCAGTGCATCTGCCACTTCCTGGGGTAACAGTCCGTGCCGGAGAGGGTGGGGACGGGTAGAAAGGATAGAAACCAGTAAATCGTTTAGTCCAAAGATCAGAAAGACAGCAAAACAACACTGGAATTCACATATGGCTGTACCTCATACATTAAAAATAGGTGAAAAAGAGAGCGAATTAATTTTTAGGGAAGGAAATGTGTGAAATTGATAAATATGACTATTAAAGATTAACTACATGTGTGATACCTCTCTCGGCATGCTCGCACTTGATAACGAAGGTAAATCAAGGGTAAAATCATCTTTTAGATTCACCACACTGCTGTACAGATGTTTTTTCATACAGTTTGCATTTATTTAATGTACTGCACTGCGAATAGGAACTCATGAGCCAAGACTTTCACTCACTAGTTCACCCGTTCTAGTGACGAGACAATACAAGCGATCTGATTTGATTTAGATTCGGTGGTGCAGTCTTTCGCCCAGCAGGGGGCACCACTGACACCGGAACCAGATACGACTTTGATGTTCGCAGCGGGAAGCGTGTTCGTACAATTAATTAGTTGATCAATATATCAAACCGTACACACATACCACTTCAATGCGGAGGTGTCGATTGGGAATTAATTAAAACAATTGACAAGGAGCCGTCCAGGGAATGCAAAACTAATGGGGCCTTCAAGCAAATCCCCAACATCCCCCAAGCCATCATTTATATGTAGTGAGATTATTAAACTCAGGCTGTTAATTCAGTATAAGGCTTCTGATATAAAGCATCACAGGCCCGTCGTCGACAGGAAGATAGCTGCACAAATCATTCAGCTCAATACCATAACAAATCGCAGGTGAAACAAATACTGAAATTCGATATAAAATCCATATATGCATTATTAATTGATGCTAACATATCTCAAACACATAGGAAAGTTTGCGACCCAGGGGATTCCCCTCCCTCATGACCCCTGCCCCCTGGGGTGGGTATATCAGGTTCCCAGGGAGGGCCCTGACTACAATGAGGGGTTCGAAGATGGTTGGACAATATGAGTGGAACCAGATTCATGACCTGTGTATGTATGAGATCTCAAATATAACTTTACTAGTGGAATCTGTTCGGTAATTTAAATCCCAGAATAAAATTAAACCCACGATTTCCACCAAAGCACACGCATTAAAATCTTATCTTCCCCAGTCGGGCGCAACATTTTACCTGCTTGTTACCTTATAACAACTTATACACCATAAGGGGGGTAATGAATTGCGCTTTAGACTGAGCATAGCGATGAGAGCTGCATTAGCTCAAATGAACGGCAGCGGGTGTAGGATCCTAATCACACCTGTATTTCTGTGGGTAGTTGTTAGGACATGGGTTCGTAATGTGTTTCTGCTTCCAGCAAGGGAACTGCTGTTGTACCTTTGAGCGATGTACATAATTTGAGAATGATGTACGTAATTAAGTTGGAAATGTAGGTTAAATAGCGTAAACGGTGGGGGCGTGGCACCCCACATGCCTGTATGAGCAGCTGCAGCCCGTCTGGAGATATGCAGGTGTAGTTCCGCAGGAAGTCTTCGCGGACGTTGAGCATCTGCTGGAACTGGCCCATCTCGCGCGGCTCCTCCAGGCTGCGGAACACCAGCGCCCCCATCACCAGGTAGAGCAGCACCGCAGTCAGGATGGCCAGGAGCGTGGAGCAACGCATGGCGGCGGCGGGCGTCACGCGGTGCGACTCCTCTGAGAACACTGGCCCCCGCGCGCAGCCCTCGAGTCACCCTCCCTGAACCTGAACACCAGAAGAGTCACTCCGTACAAAAAACCAAACAAAGCCTGTTCCCCCTCCATTATAACAACGAATCCTCTACAGTACAAGAGGTAGAGTTATTCTGAAACCAACCATTCCCTTCCTTAATAGTAGGCCTATTTCATTATTTATCATTTAATACGTATTCATTCATGAACAAACATTAAATACATCACACCGAACCACTTAGCCTGCCGGCTGGCTAGTATCTTAAAGTGATTTTCAATTATTCATTTAACTACAGAGCGTAAAACAATCCACTTTTATGAACTTGCACGGACTGACACACGACTGGCAAAGCCCCACCTGCATTTGCTGCAGCGGCTGAACGATCAGGTTAGCAGCGTGCCCCTGTCCTCTCCCTGCTCTCAGCAGCGTTTCGCTTTGACGTCACGCATCATTTGCCGCAGACAGAGTTAGGTTCTGGACACCAGCACCTGCTCATAAATGCGGTTGTTTCCATATAATTAAGACAAGAGATCGCCAGCCGGCTAAGTGCCTCGGTAGTTACAATACTAGCTACCCATACTAGCTATCAAGAAAAACAGCCAAGTACAAATCAGCTTCGTTGGGAAATGTGGTTCTTGGTAATGAACGCCAATGAGCAGTAGACCTGTAGCTGCAGTGGCGTTGTTGGAGATTTTGGGCCTCATGAAAGCACATCATATTGGGCCCCCCGGTCCAGACCAATCCAGTTATTTTCCAAATTTCTTAGGCCCCCTACCACTCCGGGGGCCCTTAGAATTGTCTTTACTCCTCCACCCCCCCCTTACCATCCCCCTGCATTGCTACCACTGTGCATGTTGCTAATCTCTACAGAAGCCTACGGTGTTTTCTACACTGTGGGAGAGGAGCATCCAAAGACTGTGAGCACCCGGTATGAGTCCGTGTGAGTCTGGCATGCATGAGGAATGAGGACATCGCCATATAGAGGCACTAGGCCCCATTGATCGGCAAATTCATCCGTAGCTGAAGGAGGAATTCATATTCGAATTGGAAAAATAAAGGTAACAATTTGACAAATTCGAGGGAGCTGATTAATGCATTATGTGGCCCCTGCAGTGAATAATTATGGAGCCTTTCAAATGATTAAAACAGGTCTGGTTACAAGGAGTGATTGACAGCCACAGCGGCAGTGTTTTTATTAGGGACGATGCCTATCATTCAAAATTCCAAGATGAGCTTAATGAACCTTTAAACGAGACTTCTGACCTGAACTTCACCCCCCCCCCCTGCAGATATCCCACCTCCCGCATGTCTCCCTGACCCCTATTCTCCTTCCCCAAAGATTGTAGATAAGCTCTGCGATCTCTGCTATCTCGCGTGCGCTCTCGCTCTAAAAAACAAATCTGCGGGATATTGTATATAATTTGCTGGTGTCAGGGAGCCACAGTCAACGTGCACGGTCCAGATCAGTGATTTTCAACCACTGTGCCAGATTGTAAGGTGTACCGTGGGAAATTATCCAATTCCACTTTTTTTGGAAAATTAATTATTATTTGCAAATAATGTGCCATTGTCGAGTGTCTGTGCTGTAATAGTGATGTATTCTAAACAAACAAAGCAATTTCAACATTACTCCCATTTTCCAGGACATATCTGTGTGAGCTTTTCAATCCTGACTCGTATAAAAACTAAAAACAGAGACTGAGAGCTGTTGAGGAAGAGCTTTGTGTGTGTGTGTCTGTCTTCAATTCCTGCCAGGATATCAGCATTGTGTTCATCCAAACAAGCTCAGGTTTCACACTATAGTATAAATAAATTGAGAGACTATTCTGTCATTACAAGGCTACAGAGTGTCATTTTGTAACATTTTTGGCTGGTGGTGTGACATGGGATTTTTTTTTCAATGTAAAAAATGTCCCATGGCTCAAAAAAGGTTGAAATACGCTGGTCCAGATGATGTTTAGGCCACAACATATGAGCCTAAAATACCTGGACCATCCATACCTGGCTTCCACTTCTACGTTTCTGGCTTCCGTTGCCCTTATCTTCCTGCAGGCTCACGATTGAGTCTTTCCCATGCAGGGTCTGGCTGGGGAGGTCATCCTTGTCACATGTGGAAGAGGGTGACAGTCCGGAAAACAGATTTAGTTAAGGTGGAAAGTATGACAGCGTTATGTCAGTGTTGTCCGACATTGCGTTAAACACGTGAGCCGTCCGACATGTATCTTTCAGGCACATGTTATTGAGGGCCGAAAGCTTGGCGACAGGAAATGTGGCGTGTTATCGCGGCAGCACAGCTGGGAATTTTTACAAGGATGGCGGAAACGGCGGCTGCGGTCATGTCAAGTCTATGCAGTTGAGATGAGTCAAATGTGGCACATGAATAGGAATAATAAAATATCTTTAAAAAACATGGGTGGGTGAGTGGAGAAGGAGCATGTCGCAAATGTCAGCACTGAGAGAGGAAAACGGGATTCAATCTTAACGTAAAACATACTTACTGTATATGTACTACTGTACAGTAACCGAGCTGTACTTCCTGCATTTGTATTTCCCAAATGGAAACGGCTTCCCACTACATGATTAAAACTAAACATCAGTAACACGATAGAAGTAGGCATCAGTTAGGCATTAAAAGGATAATGATAAACATCAATTAGGCATTAAATGAATAACGCTAAACATCAGTTACAAACTGAGCCAAACGGGAGCTGGCCAGGGTCATCACCCTGAAAGGTAACTGCGCTGGAACTGAAGGGATGTTCAAGAGATTACAGGCAGACCGGCAGCCGCGCTGAAGAGGAACGCAGTTTGGTTTTGCCCGTAGTTGAAAATCTCAGTACCAGCGGGCAGGAGGCGGACTTCCTAACACTCTTCACCTACCCACCTGCTGGAGGTGCAGCAGCGTCTTATCCCAGCTGCACAATCTTGGTAATGAAGTCCTTTCAAAATACGCCGATCTGGAGAGAGGCCATGAACTTAGAAAAATGAACGCGGGCGGTTTTGATTAGCATCACTGGATGATCACGCTCCGTGTCAAATCCAAAGTTTAATTAAACATATGCTGAGCGAATCAATAAACTTTTCCACCACTCGATTTCGTAATTCTTCATCGTGCTATGATTATATGATCCGCAAGCCCACGTGTCTAATTAACTGGGAGCGGAGGAGAGACACACAGACTTCACAGGCCAGTATGGACCTAGACACATACATGCAGCAAACCATGACACACTGAGACTGCAAAAAGTAACTTGCCCCGGTACACAATACAAACCCATCCAATTGCCTGTCTGCGATGGACACTCCTTTGCTCTTTAACCAATCACACGATCTTAGCAACGCACCACTGCTGAGAAGGAGCATAACGATGCCTCACTCTGAACCCAGCCACGGCTTTGCCTTCGAGTACGATGCAGACGCTGAGACCAGTCAGCCAACACAGTCCGTCTCCCCAAGCCAAAACCACCCGGCCAACTTCCCGACTCGTGCCTCTGTGAGATTTAATGCCCGCAGGCTAGTGAAACTCCCTTCCCGTCGCCCCCCGTTTCCTACCTCAGTGTTAGCGACTCCGAATGCCCAGGGGTGTGGCATTCGGGGGTCTGGGGCCGGGGGGGTCGGGGGGGGGGGTTCCAGACGGACGGCAGCAGCCCGCCGGCGAGCGTGTCGCTGAGCGCGAGGTTGTTGCTGAGTGCCCAAGAAATGAAAAGATACTCAATCAAACTGACTCTCTCAGATAGAGGAAGAGAGAGAGTGGGTGGGGGGGGGGGGGGGGGGGGGGGGGGGGGGGGGGGAGGGGTCAATGCAGATACTCTGGACTCAGGGCTTCTCGTCTGCCTGCATCCTCACCCTTCTTTGCTCCACCCTATTTGTGGGGAGGGGGGAACTTCAGACGCCTGTGTTGTGGGGGACACCGGGAGAGGACACCTATCAGCCTGCCACCACACTCCCCCCCCCCCAAACAACCCCACCTCCGCCCTCTTGCTAACCTGCAACAGCAGCTGCCACCGGCATAAATAATCATCAGGTCAGCAGCTCAGTTAAAAGCCTCACTGTTTGTGTACCAGTTACTATGTATAGAGGTGACACTGCTGTACTGGTTAGGGACAGGAGTTATGGACACCTATTGGAAATGGAGGATCCCAGCATGCTCCCTTTATAGTTCGCGGTTACAAGCAGAAACTCATATACTAATGCCTTATAAAACGACTTTATAGAGCACTCGTCTAAGTCAGCATATAGACGGTGATGTGGCTTAATGACAGTGAACTGTGATGTAACCGATGACATCACCACCTGTGAACCTACTCCAGTGTAATACGGTATGAGTGGGTTTTTTTTCCCCCCGCTTATGTGCAAGTATGCGGTCTGCATTTTAGATATTCGGGGTTAGACCGTCAATAATGTGCAGACGACCACCTTAAATCCCATGCTAGCGTAACCCCCCCCCCCGGTGCATCAAGCTAACAGAGTGTAAAACTAAACAGTCCAGTAAACGGAGACAGAGCGAGGGAGAGAAGGAGCTGACGCCGCAGGTCTTGGTAACGACGTGCAGGATCTTGTCGGCGGCAATAAAACGCTGAAAAGGAGCGACAGCAATTTGGTGGCAGTAGGTTCTGGCCGCACATGATATGAGGATTAAGATTCTACATGGGGAGACTATTAGTTATATCTGGTACAACAGGAAGGTCGGTGAGGGGGGCAGTCCCGGCTTTGACCAGAGGAGATCAAGAAGAGATGCTGGGATCTACTCAGACTATATGGAAAACCAGCCGATTCGCGTAGGCAATGCTAAATACACATCACAGTGGACATCCATTTTTTGGCAGTGCGCTCGGTACTCTTCAGTCATGGACATGGGGGGTCTTACCAGATAACTGTCAGGTGGAGCTCCTAGATGACAGCATGCTGACAACTTATGTATGTGTGTGTCTGTGTGCATGTCCTCATGTAGATGTGGTCACATGTCCCAGGAGTATCTGATTAAACTTTCACACACGATCATATGGATTCCATCCTGACGTCCCTTTCTTTCATTGTCCTCCCCCTCATTACCTTCCTCGCCGTCTCCCTGTCCCGCGTCTCCCTGTCGCGCGTCTCCCTGTCGCGCGTCTCCCTGTCCTTCTCCATGCCCCCTTTCCTGTCTCTGAGTCCTTTTATCTCCCAGCCCCTACTCCCGTATTGGGTACCTTGGATTAAAACACACACTTTCACCATGTCAGATATGACACGCAGAGTCAGGCTGACGCATGCCGACGCCGGGCTTTCTAACGTGTCGACATGTCTGTGGGTAGCTAGCTCCCCCACCGTGCCTGCAAGTAAAACAGACAGTGCTGTGCAAAGTTCCCCGGCTTCTCACTCAAGCACAATCGATTTCATAAATCGAAAAAAAAAAGTTCAGTTTATGACTATTTGACCCTCGGCTTTGACAATTTTGACAACTCGAGGAGCTGCTGTCACAATAGGGCTCAAAGAAATGAGCTTAATTGTTCGAACGATTATGCTGACATTTCGAGGCATTTCAGGTGGCGAAACTCAAGTGGATACCCAGTCCTATTGGTCACATGATTGATGACATCACCAGCTTTACTGATAAATGGAAAACGACACAGTGGAGGCAGGCTGCAAGCTGGGAGGGCGTGGGTATAGCTGTTGAGAGTTTCCTAATGAGTGGGTCGGCGGGAATCCACTTGGGTCACATGATCCCACCAGGGAGCTTGGCAGTAGTAGGTGGCACCGCCAATTAAAACGCAGAAAAGGACATAACGGGAAGCAGTGGGCTGCCAGCGAATGGTATAACGTATCTGTCACAGTGGGCGCGTCACTTTGGTAACCGCACGAAACACTGATAGGGAGAAATGTCACCCAGGCTGGCGTGAGCCAATCGTAATTCTGCATTCCAGCCGGACACTATTACAGGGAGAGGACATTAAATCCTAGTACCCTAACAGACAAACCGTGTTCTGGCTGCTACATTCCCGCCGGCTCTTGTGATCTGTGGACTCGTGTTCGGCATGCAGGACCCCCCCCCCCCCAAATTCAGAGCAGGGTTATGCCAGTAAATTCCTTTTGTTAAACTCGGCCTTTAGGTCACGGCATTATGGGAAGGGGGTCTGGTCGCCTCAGGTAGAGCGGGAGGATCTCTACAGTCTAACTTACAGAGGCAGTCACACTGGCATTAATATGACAGAAGGACGTTGGGTCTCGCCTTGACCCATTAGTGGGTAAACTGGCTATGGAAAATGGAAGGATGGAAGTTTGATCCAGTAAATATGCACAGCAGGAGGACTTCAGGGTGAACCTCGATTGGGAGCGGCCAGACATGGATTTAGATTAAAGTAACAATATTGATATCGATGTCTACCTTCCACAGTTGCTTATTCAGCTGAGAGTGGAGCTGATAACAGGACAGAAATCGGACGAGGCAGGGGGCATGAAGTCATGTAGATCACATCTTTGCACCGTGGGAGGAAATCTACCCGATCACATGTAAAATTGCATGTAGATCGTGTGCAGTGCCAGTCTAAACATTAGACAACATAATCTGCTACCTAGGGCTCTATCTTCCGAGGGGGGTGCGACTTAACAACAACTCTGATGGGGACACCAGTGGTGAAACTTTCTTAGGGTGACACGTGGGTTTTGACTGCTGCTGTTTGTGCGATGTATGCTACTTTGATTTCCTAAAATTTCTTTAATACTGTTTCCCATTTGATATAGTATGAAAAATATGAAAAAACCCATCCATTCTCCCAGACCACTTATCCGGGGCATTGAGCCGGGAGCTCATAAACAGGAAGCACCATTTTTATAGCTTTTAGTGGTCAGAGATGAAAAGATTCTCAGATTGCTACTATGCAGCATATATCATACCTTGACATTAATAAGCCATAATTTTGGCAGTGGTCCCACCAATATGAGTTAACATATTCCCATTGTACCATCAGAAGAAAAAGTATTACTGCTAGGAAATATCTGTCTAAGCTCTTGGCAGAAAACTTGCTTTTGGACGGACAGACCATTAATGTTTACAGATCAGGGGTGAGTTTCCTTAACCCTAACCCTAACCCTTCTTAATGCTACTTCATTCGTAAGTTCTATCTTATAACTTACAAACGACGTAGCGTTGGAAACTCACCCCAGAATACTAAAACTCTCGATTAAAATGACAAACCTTTTTGCCCCTCCACTAAAACTGCAAATTTAAAATTAAGTCCTCCAGTTATGACACAGAATAAGCCTTTTCCATAAAAATCAGATGAATTTTACGAATCACTTCACCCCCCACTTAACATGCAGAAATCTTCTCCAATTCCTTCTCCTCCCCATTCTTCATGTCCCTGCAAAACACAGTTTGTTTTTTGACGTGTAAATCCAATGCACATTAAGTCGATTGATTCCACTCTGTTTGCCTAATGCTAATGTCTCCCCATTTCAATCCTGGATTCCTTCTTGCTCTTCAGGGAAGTGCAGGACAACACGGACACCAAAAAAACTCAACTTTCTGAACTATAAAACAAATATAATAATGAAAAGCTAATACCTTACATTCTTTGTCCTCCTGAATCCACCAAACTGGTTTTAAATGGAGTAACCAGCCCAATCAAAACCAGCCGGGCTTTGTCAGTTAAGGTTGTTCCTGTTAATCAGTCTCTGTAAATCTCTGTTGTAAATCCATTCATCCACCAACCACTTAACTTAGGGTCTTGGGGGACAATATTCCAGACTGCCAATCCGTCACAGGGCACCTATTAATAAGAAGCCAATTAACCTGTCTGTCTGTCTTAGGAGTGCAGTAGAAAATATGCACACAGGAAGAAGATCCAACCTCCACACTTACAGTGAGAACAGAGATGAGATTTGAACCCCTAACCCTGGAGTTGTGAGGCAACACACCTTGGCTTATAGCAATTCTCTAATAATTGTTTCACCTTCTTCACCAAGACTAATTATTCAGCTTTCAACCTGATTAATTTGGAGTTGCTGCTACGAAAGGTACTTTTCTGTTCGGAAAAAAAAAAAATTGCATCTGCAGCCACTTCTAACTCAGGTCGATTCTGCTTGAGTTGGTTTATTTCTCCAGAAAATTCCCGCAATGTGACGCGGAATAAGGAAGAGACTCCAATGGAAATGACATATTAGCAGGAGTGCATTTCAGTCCACGTATACACACACTGCGTTAAACAGAAAAGGTTGTCCGTTTCTGCGGGACTCGAGGTTTAAAATGCCAAGTTTGTAATTAGCTGATAGTACTTAGGTTGTGTTTACACTTGGCAGCCAGCCACCGGTGTCAAGAGTAAAATACACCAAAGGCTTTACTCGTATAAGAAGCCCAAGACGCAGCTTCACAGACGGATCCTAAAGTCGCTCGGCGCCTTTACATACCTTCCCGCCTGTTATCATTCCGTCGTCATGGCGATGGCGGCGACTACGACAGCCCACTGGAAAACTCTGGCGTTTCACCGGGGATTCGTTGAACCGGAGCAGAAGATGGCGGCCCTGAGTCTGACGAAAACACTTTCGGTGGCAGGTTTATTTTTTACGTAGGTGACTAAATCAGAAAGTTGGCAGACTATGATAAGAAGGTGCTCCTGGCTCGCCGAAGTCAGCTGATCTTTCTGATGTTATGTTGAGGCTCGCAGTCACCTTCTGTCTTCCGGTAATAATGGACGCTTTGGGATCAGAGATGCGATGCAGTCACCCATCAAGCGGCCCGTGTCTCGCGGACGCCCGTCTCGTTCATCTCGGTAGAAAAAGTCAGGGCCGCGATTGCGCACGCAATGGACGACGTGACACGCCGACACATTCCTGTTCAGTGCTTCCCTACGTGACACATGGAAGACATGCGTGACCCGAGAATCCCTAGCTGAAGGGCCATCCAGATGCCCTCCGCGTCCAAACACACGGACGCCCCGGGCTGCACGCGCCGCACCTGATCTCACTTTCCAGAATTTCCCTTTCTGTGACCCCCAGGGCTCTGTAATTATTACAAGCTGCTGACCACCAGTATATTCAGTGACCACCCCCAAGTGTCATCCAAAGGATTTATACATGTGAAAGTCTCGTTTTCCTTTTTCCATCCACCCCCACAAACAAACTTTAATCTCTATCCCCGCCAACATAATTTGTATGAGAGCCTGAGACTGAAGCAAAATTTGAACGGCATCCAAGCGGCTTGAAATGGGAGCCTGGGACCCCAGAGCAGTAAATCAAATACCATCCCTGAGCAAACTCACTGACAGGTGTCTTTGACAGCTATAAATAAACTGTGAGGATTTCGGGGCAGGGAATATGTAAGACAGGCAGTTTAAAGGAACGTGGGTCACCATATTTATCACTCATTTATAACGAAACTAAACAAACTGTCTACAGCTTTCTTTGTGCAGTTCTGTTTTCAAGCTGCTTGAAGAAACTCTGAAGCTGTGTTCCAGGTGCACTGGTGAGGGGTGCACAAGTGAATCGGAGTGCGTGGCGGTCACACTGCGCGTGCACCTGTGCACTAAATGGAGGCTCCAGCAAGGCCAGGCACATCGCCGTCACGCTTCCACGGTCAGAGATGAATATTTGGAGCAGCTGTCATGCCATTGGCTCAGCAGCCGCCCAGCACCCCCCAACACCCAATCACAGTTCAGCTGGTACATACAATTATCACCAAATTAAATACAGACAGATGCAGTGGGCCAAACAACTGCTTTGGTATTCATATTGGTATTCAAGAAAAATGTTTAGATCCACTCTCATTAGGAAAGTCTAATTAAAATGATTATTTGTCATTGCAGCAGAATAACACACAAACACAGGAAATATTGTGAATTAATGTTTTATTACTCTCCACACACCAGTGCACATGGCCAGTAATGATTTAGATGAAGAGAATGGGAGACAGAAGTGTGTATGGGGGTGTGCATAGGGGTGTGTATGGTGTGCATAGGGGTGTGTATGGGGGTGTGCATGGTGTGTATGGGGGTGTGCATTGGGGTGTGTATGGGGGTGTGCATGGTGTGTATGGGGGTGTGCATTGGGGTGTGCATTGGGTGTATGGGGGTGTGCATTGGGGTGTGCATGGTGTGTATGGGGGTGTGCATTTCAACGTGCATGGTGTGTATGGGGGTGTGCATTGGGGTGTGTATGGTGTGTATGGGGGTGTGCACGTCAACATCATTTTCTTCTCTTTGTCACCCCAGATGTCCATGTTACTGACCAACCTGTACAACAGGAAACAGAGAGAGACAGGATGTAGGGGATTGATGGAACTTTTTCTCTTGAGGCACTATAGATACGAACATAATGTATTATTATGGTCAATATAAGTCATTATAATGCATTATGAAGGTATTTATAGTGCATTAAAGCTTAATAGAGCATTCATAATGCATGACACATGGCTATAATGTGTTATGCCTTCTTATAAATAGTTATAGCCATGTGTATAATACTTTATGAATACATTATAATGCATTGTGAAGGTACCTATAATGCATTATACATGGGTGCTTTAAGGAATGTGTTACCAAAGTTTCTCAGTGCAAACTGCACTGTGAAAATCAGCATAGATCCTAAAATAACAGAATGGCAGACTTTTAATACACAGTTGAGAGATCAGTCTAGAAAGCTATGGAAACTAGATTTCTAATAATTTCTACAGTTTAAGCAACTGGCAATCCTACATCTTTTAGCTGCAATACAGTTGGCAAGTCCTGAAGCGCCTTAAGGGGGTGCAAAAACCTAAGGAAGCACAAACACCTGTAAGCAGAATGCGCTCGCTAGCTGATCAATACACAAGAAACTTTTACATTACATGATAATCTAATCCCACCCTACTCCAGGAAGCTTTTAAATGGGGTGAGGTGGGTCAGTGTGCAGCGAAATGCAAGGTGTATGGGTGCAAAAGAGCAAGACAGACAGAGCCCCAGAGTACCTGAAGAAGTAGCGAGAGGGGCGTTGGCCTGCAAATTATTACAAATAATTGCAAATTCCTGCAATTATCCAGCAGCAGATTTCTACAGACGCAGAGGGAGGAGCTTAATGGAGGACAGGCAACAAGTTAGGAGTGGGCCTCCTCTTCCTCGCTCAACTCTCGCTTTAATCGCCTGGGCATGCAGCCCTTCTCTTTGAATCTTCTAGTACCCCCGACGACCGCCCACGTGCAAACTGGAGAGAACTGACCGTGCCATGCATCTTAGGACGATGTTTGAAGCGGCAAAGTCTGGAAGCCACTGGCCTGTAGTGAAGCCATATCTTCTCAAACTTACCTTTTTAGTTTTTAGGTAAGGCGTCTGGAATTAAATTAGGCATGCGTCAGACTGAAGTCCATTAGGGGTATTAATTATTGCAGAGAAGAGACTAGAAACTTCTTTTACCTTCTACTCTCGCTACCCCTCATAAGCTTCTGTCAGAATGGATATAGATATTATATCACCTGTAAATATGATATGCTGCATTACGATCATCTCCAGAGTGATACTGCGCGGAACGGAGGCTCAAGACAGCACTTCCTTTGTACTCAAAAGTGTTTACTTTGAGACACTGAAAATTGCATTGTGCACATAATGGTGTAGGAGACTGGCTGAATTAGAGACTTTTCAGGACAGGGTGGGGCAGGTTTAGAAGGAGGAGGGGAAGAAGACGGACTAATGCAACATGAAAAACAGGATTTAGAAAAAGGCAAAAATGCGTTATTTGTTTGTGAAAGGATGTACAGTAGATCAGCTAACTACAGGACAGTATTGGGCAATGTGTTGTATCAGTTTCTCCGTGGTTCCAGGGTTTCAGTTTAGCGTCCGATCCCAGCTCTGGGGGTTAGGGTTAGGGTTAGGCTTAGGGTTAGGCTTAGGCTACACATATTCCTTCTGTACCTGTCAAATTTGTCTGGGTGCCCCAGTTTCAAAAATGTTCAGGTGACTCCAGACGTATAGCGCGTGAATTCGCGCGTGTGGCAAAGTGCAACCATTCGCCACGCGTATGAACGGTGTTTCATCCAGGCAAAAAACCCAACCGACAAGGGCCTTCCAGGACCGGCACTCGACATGCTGTGTAACTGACAAGCACTTACAGGCAAGATCTGCTGAAAGCATCGCGGACTGTTTGTTACTGCACCGTGGCTTTTGTGGTCTACCCAACGTTAATCCCTGTGACTCACGGTTGACCCTAAATAGCAAACGATGGAAATGAGCCAACCACGTTCAGACCAGAAGGTGGCTGGGCTGCCAGAGGTCAGGCAGTTACAGGCCACCGAGAGCAAAGATGCTTGGGTTGGTTGATAGTTCGGGGAGCGCTCTATCATTGGATTTCAGGACCATGAGGTCCCCAACGTTACCCCAACCTTTGGCCATATTGCTCAGCAACCAAGCTGTTTAGAACAACACTTAGCTGGTGTTAATGATTGTTGCCATGACGAACAAATCCTATAGAAACATAGTACAATAATAGATTATCAGCCCAATGTCATCAATTCCCATTCCTGTTGACCTAAGTTCATAGTTTCTAAGATTTCAAACAATCTTCCGCTCATTCAGTTTTCTTATTCATGTTATTTAGTTATTCTCCCTTCTGCCTAGTGAAAAAAAATCCATAACGACACGTTCCAGCTTCCCTGCGTCACTGGCTCCTGCCAGGCATCACACCTGTTCTCTGCGGTGCCTTATCATACCACCATTAATGCCCTTGGGCAAAAAATGTTGCTGTTGTCAAGAAGCAGCTGTTACCCACTTGAGCAGGGTGTTAAAACTAACGTAAACTGTTCTAGCAAATATCCAACTATATATATAAAATCCTTTATTGGCCATTGCACTAGTACAGGTACATAGGAACTCGTCTCTTCGCCTACCCCATCTTGGTCTTCAGAGCGTAGAGGTGACAGTGCAGGGTCAAGCATCATGTGGAGCCCCTGCAGCTGGAAGTTGAAGGCCTTGCTCATGGGCCCACAGACATGTGACTGTTCTATAGAGGCCAGGGCTCAAAGCGGCGACTTTTCAATCACAGGCACAGGGACCGAACTGTTCAGAGACAGAAAATGCTTTGATAATTAGTTTTGCCACTTGTGTTATGATTGATAATTATATAAAAGTTCCTTTAATTGGTGGAACTCTGTTTTTGATATTGGAAATAAAACTGGCAATTCTGAGGGGGGTGAGCTAGCTAGTGAGATATGTGGACTGCGTTTACCTTAGCAAAGCTTCCATTAGCTTAACAATGTACTGATTAGCAAACTGGCTACAGTGACTAACTTCACTGCCATTTCATCTGGGATGCAGATTTTTTATTAGTAACCAGGACGAGAGAGAGGTAGATCCGGTTGCCGCAGAGATATCAAAAAAAACAAGCCTTCAGAATAAGAGTACATCTGCCCTGAGAACTGTGATCGCTAAGAACCCGCTACAGTGGGAACAGAAAGGCAAAGAAAGAAAGATGAAGGGAATAATGGAATTGTAAATACTGTAAGATTGTGTGATTTAGCAGTAAAACTTAATATTCTACCTTTTATTAGCTCTCTACAACCCTCAAGGAATCATCCCATTCTGTACCTCATTTGATCTGTGAGAATCCACTCTACACCTCTGATTTCACTTAATCGGAAGACGGATAGTTTGTGATATTAATTATGTGCATTTACAGACACTCCTCTACTTACAAACTTTCAACTTACGAACTTTCAGACATACGACCGAAGAGGACTGCAAATCCAAATTGTGTTCATTGGGCTCCCGTTTCCGGTCCGCAACATATTTTTTTTTTCTGCGCGCCAGTTCCGCCTAGTATGACTTCTGGCCGCTACTCCCGCCACACATCAGCGTAGCGTGCGTACTCCCAGCATCCCAGGTCTTTGTACTTACGTAAACCCTTAAAATGATGTTGAATAATGACTTACGAACATTTCAAGTTATGAACGGCCGTTCGGAACGTAACTCATTCGTAAGTAGATGAGCGTCTGTATTTTAGTTTAGGGGTTTTGATCGTGGCATCAGACGCCATCTGGTGGTCTGTAAAGCTGTTGCAAAGGTCTGCTCTAGTTGCCCTGATCAGAGTCAAAAATATTCAAGCGGGACCACGCCAGAACAGTTATAGTATCCGTCCCTCGGTCCTTAGTTATTAGTTACTTGTGTAATCATGCGTTAGTGGTATGGGATCCATAATTCTTTCGTCTGGTGTAAGGGAGGTTGAAATGCCCTTATTTAAGATGCAGACTACGAAAATGTATGAAAACCCACAAAAAAGTGCAAATGCAAATAGTAAAAACGGCAAAAATGCTTCCGCCCAACCATACTCATCTTTAACATTGTGATGTCTTTCATTAGAACCCCCCAAGTTTCATAAACTTTTACATTCGTAAACATATTGAGGTTAACACTACGACAGCTCGTGAAAAAAGCTTATAAGTATATTTTATATAATTACAGCTACGAATTTTGAAAGTATAGCTGGAGTAATTAAAAAGTAAAACATAGGATATAATAAAATATGCTTAAATGTGGCAGAAAAAATATCAAGGTTTCTGATACTCATCGTGTAATGTCGCCATCTGATGGTGAGGCTTTAGATCAGCATTACAATTTTGTTAGACGCCACGGTTTGTTTTACCCGGCATAACTCAATCGCAAATTCGCAACTCAGAGTAGGCCTACAATCTAGGCCCTAGATAACTGGAAGGATGACATCATCTTGCGCGAAAAAATCGTAGCACATCTCCTCGTTAGTATAGTGGTGAGTATCCCCGCCTGTCACGCGGGAGACCGGGGTTCGATTCCCCGACGGGGAGGCTGGTTATTTTTTTTTTTTTGTGAGTCGGGGGGGCGGATTTTGCTGGTCCCGACAAGGGACAATCCATTGTAATGAAATCAGTGACTGCAATCTAAAAACTAAAATGGTCAAATGTATATTGTTTATATACTTATTAAGGTTTGGGCTGGGTAGGGGGTTAAGGTTGTCATACCATGGGATTAGGATTTTGCTTATAGAAATGAATGTGAGTTGCCAACTTTGGTCAGCTGGCTGCTGTGAGACTTTAAATTCGATTAATTAAGTCCGCACCCGTATTTACATGTGTGGAAGAGTTTTATTACTTTGTAAATAGTCTTTTTATGTCGCTAATTTTATGTTTATAATGGAATTATATAGATTTCCCATAAGATTTCTTACTTGAGCGTCAGAATCAGGAAGCGTGAGTGTCATGAGTGCGTGAGAGTTGGCAACCCTGTGAGTGGACCGTCCCCATAAAGATATGAATACAAATTTTGTGTGTGTGGAACTGCGGGTTAAAACTCTACCTATAACTGGAAAATTGCTAATATATCTGTGTGTCTCTTAAGACAGCAAGATGGGATATGCAAAGAATTGTACTTGCATTCTGTACAATAATAAAGACTTTGAACAGGAACTATTGAGGACATATTTAATTTCAGGTAACAGCAACAAAAGAACAAGAATAATACAATGTATTTAAATTATAGAAAAACGAACACTTCGTAGTCAGAAAATCAATGTCACGGAAAACCTTCTCATTATAACTTTACAAAGCACATTTATATAGTAGGCCTATGTCAAATACATTGTAATCTAGTCCGTTCGCGGTTTGCGGTATTTATCATTTATGACTAAATGAGAAGTGTTGTGGTTCATATAATCCCGGATTATGGAATATATCTTTAGCGCGGTTGACAGCTGTAATCCAGCCAAGTAAACCAGAACTCATCCTGAAACTTTCTAAGAACAACAATAGGCTACATCGCGTATACACATGCAATAATAAGTGCGTAAAGTATTTTACATGCAGTTGGGGTCTCTTTAAATATGACTTCTAAGAGTCATATAATTAAAACACGTAACAGATATGTGACCAGGTCTAAAAAAATATGCTCCAAAATCTTGATTTCACATGCGAAAGACCTGTCGGAGACAATTTGAGCAATTACATAATTATAACTTTATAATTTTATTATAATATAATTTCTTGGTAGGCCTCCTCCAAAGAAGCTTTTATCGAAAAGTAGAATATATTATTGAATGTATTTTAATATATCGATAAAACAACAAGGAAATATAAAACAACAAATATTAAAAACAGCAGCAAAGTCCTAATATGAAACTACAAGGACGAACCAACGTCTAACGACACTATTCGTAGTCTATAATAAATAATCTGTAATTGTCATCCAAACGTTAAAACGACATTGACAAGGCTAGTGCATTAGAAAAAAAAAGCCCGGAAAAAAAAACAAAAAAAACAAACACACGTTGCACAGCGTGTGGTGCAGGAAACTGCTGATGAAGTGCATAACGGCTGGCAAGACAGCATTAAAAACGGATTAAATGTCTCCGTCCCGCTGCTCGGTCGCGTGGTGTACAACATTCCCCACGAGCGGTTGTTTTGATTCCTGTTACACAGAAAGCTGTAGGCATAGGGTAATGAGAATGCATTCGTAGTGAATCAGAACATAATCTTACACTGAGAACATATTAATCCAGCACTAGATCGTATAGTAAACTGCATTTTATCCTTTTCCGCTGATAATTTCATTACGTCGCTAAGGTAAGAATTTAGCTTCCGTTTTTGGTTTCTTACAATAACTTGTTGAGTATCAATTAGTTATTTAGAAGCTACTGTTGAGAAATTGGCTCTGTTTAGTTATTCATAGATTTCTGTTGTTCTGATGCCGTCTTTTCCTGTACCTCACTACATTGGTTCATCATTCTGTACACATCAGGTTTTTCGACGACTGTCCATTCGTAAACTTGTCAACGTGTTTGCAGCGTTTTCAGGAGTCTTTTCACAGCTGCTTATTCTAGGATCGCATTTGTTTATATCTATTAATCCGAACGTCTTAAAATCCGTGACACATTCGCGGGCACAGGCACGTAGGCACACATACATACCGGGTGCGCCGGCCTCTTCGTAAGGGATTCCTCCGTTCTGGTTCTGGTTCCCGTGCTTCCAGGCACCCCTGTGCATCTCTTCAGATGTTTTCCTGGTCGGTGGGGTTTTGCATGGAGGCTCAGGTGCCTGGTCAGCGCTCGCCTGAGGAGATGGTGACCAACACTCTGATGCTGGAGCTGGGCGCGCTGCTGAAACGGGCGGACCGCCTCCACCAGGAGCGTGGCACTGATGCCCGGCGGCGTCGCTCAAGTGTCGACTACAGTTGGCTGGCCACGCCACACCAGAAGCCGCCTTACGAGCCCAGCCCTGGGGAACTGCTGGAGTTGCATAGCCTGTGCACCAAGATCCGCCCCTCGCAATGCGGCCCTGTCATTCTCAGGTGGGGATCCGTGGGAGATCAGGCACGATCCATCTACCAGCACAGGGCCAGTTAAGTCTTGATGGGTCCATTGATCCGCTAGCCAGTTATGCTGGTCTGCGTTGTGGGTGTCTGGTACTGATCATGGGCAAGACAGGACAGAAAGCTGGGGTACACCCTGGACGGGATGCCAGTCCATCACAGGGCACAGGGCAGGGGACACCCTGGACGGGATGCCAGTCCATCACAGGATACATACACAAATACTCACACACAAAATAGCATATTGCGATGCCTGTTCAAGGATGCTAGTTAACAAGACTGCATGTCTTCGGACTATAGTACGAAACCAGCGTGACGTGGACAAAACATGCAAACTCCACATACATAGAGAAAAGGTGGGATTTGAGCCCTCAGCTCTGGAGGTTCTGAGGCAACAATGCTTTACATTTACATATTGGGTATTGCTGAAGTGATTCAAGTATAGCTAATGGTACAGTATGACTCAAGTGAATATGGGTAGGGTTGCTATCATTTTCTTTTGTTGACTGACTAATTGATGAGATGGTTGAGGGGTTCAGACTACCTGTGGGCTGACATCGTTCATCCTTGTCCCCATCCCTCCAGGCTCAGGAAGTTGGTGGCAGAGCTCGAGCCAGACGCCCAGGAGGTGCCGCGCATCCTGCGCATGATTCTGTTGGACTGTGTGGAAGAGGAGGAGCAGAGCAAGGACCAAGAGGAGCCGGCGGCAGGCTGCTTGGAGAAGCGGCGCAGCAAGAGCTTGTCCTTCGTCACCCTCCGCTCCCGCTTCCTGGGAGGAGCCTTGGGGGGGTCATGCTCGTGCCAGCCGCGAGAGGCAAGGCTGTGGCCCGGCGAAGATGACGACGGGGGTGGCCCACATTTTAGTGTGGGCTGGAAGACCCGGCGTGTGAGGAGCATGCCTGAGATGAGCCCCGTGGAGCAGACCACACAGAGCTGAACGAGAAATGCAGGAGAAGGAGGGAGAGTAGAAGTGGGAGCAGGAAGTCGGGACCTTTGAGACCATTTAGGGCAAAGTAGGATGGGGAGCCCAGGGAACACACACTCTGAACTGGGTTATAGAGCTACGAAACATCCAGACTAGCCCAACCTTCTCAAGAATGCACACTGACACCACACAAAAGGTACGACCGTGTACAGATAGAAGTATATTCCAAGCAGATTTTCCATGGGGATACCAAAACATGATCTTCCGATCTAGTTACTCCATAACTGATTATCTAGTACAGGGTCATGTTGACTCTGAGCCTGCCCTGAGAGGACAAGGCAGGGGACAGCCTGGGCAGGATGCGGTCTAGTTAACGTACTCTGTGAAATACGTGTAATGAGCATAGTAGCTATTTGCAAAAATAAACAACATTTTCCATTAAATGTCCCCATTACTCTGATTGGTCTTTGAAAGGAATCCAGAGGTCCTCTCGTGAGCGGCAGGACTTTCAAGGTTGGAGTCGTCGCATTTCCTGCAATATGTGTCCTTTACACTCCAGGAAATACTGTTCTCTTGGTAATGCTGCTCGCCCGCGCACATCAGCACAGACTTGCCGCTGGCCTGGTGGCTGGGGTTCAGCCACCCACCACGTCCCTTATGGATGCCTCCCTCTTCTCGTTCTGCCACCATTGGCATTTGGTGTGTCTCGGTGTTACGCCGAGTACGGGCAGGAAGTACTCGGCTGGTCCGGGCTCAACAGCGACTGCGGGAGGCACTGGGTTTAGGCTAACGCAGTTATTGCTGACACTGCGGAATCGAAATAAACATACCATACCACAAACCATAACTCATGGAAGTAGGATCCAGTTACTTGCAGGACGTTCAGGTGGTGCTACTCACTGTATGCTAAGTGGAGATCATCTGATCACGTTGCATAACCTGTGCTTTGCCTTGGTCGAAGAGCCAAAGATAGCAGGGTTGTAATAGGCTTTGAGACACCAGCGAGACACCGACTTTGCATTTGTATCTCGTTCCACAGGATTCTGGGTAGTCTCAATGTGAAACAAGCCACTAGACTTATACTGGCACCGTGTTGATGTTCACAGTGTCACAGTATCTTGCAAGTGAGTCAAAATCACGTGACACACAACATCAACTGCGTAGAAAGATTCAATGTCAAGGCTTTAATTACTTTTTGGGTCCTTGAACAAAAGAATTTATTTTTTTTTTTAAATAAAATAATTCCAGAAACACATAGTGTGACAAGCAGTCATAATAGTATCAGCAGTAATTACTAGAATTACAAAATGCATTAAACCTTAAAGAATGTCTTCATCCTGAAGACAGAATTCCGACTGAAAACATTACAGAATGTGTTCCCTGGCAGCACAGAGACTGGGAGTGGTCAGGAGGTCTTGCTGATCACAGACTAGCGTCTGTAGCTATCGATGTGTGCAATGGGATGCAACATGACAAATTCCAAGACAATCACACTCTTTATACGGCTACCAACAGTGCCCAGCTCTGGTCCTTGGTAGTATTTTGCTCAGTTTTAGCTAGCTATTAATCATACTGGTAAGTTGCCTTGCTGAGTATCATATAGATGCCAACTGAAAGGTTTCCTGAAAGATTCAGTCCTCTAGACCTCAAGAACCAGGCTGGGCCGTCCAGGAGTACAAGGAACATTATCAGGAAGCTCTCTTTTGGTGGTATCCAGTGCCAATTCCAGGCAAAGTATAGATCTGTATAAGACTCCCGGTGAAACGGGTGGCTTACTTTGAAAGATTGCTCTGTGTGTCATGAGACTAGATGTCACTAGCCCTGTTCCTGAAAAGCCTTCGGTCCCGTCTATTTTATGTGCTCCCGATTTCACGGCTTCTGGAAGGACACACTGCAAGCGAAACCCATACCTTGGTTCAGAGAACCAAGGAGACCAGCACCTGAATACAAATGCTTGGGTTGTGTCATAAAAATGTTTTGGTCGCAATACCTGACTAACTTTTTAATGTCCATCAATAGGTTGGTTATAGTTGAAGAGGTTTGGGTGAATTAAAAACACTGCGAACCATGACTTCTCAGGAACAAGCTGACCGATTCATGGCTGGTTGTGCAAATGTGCCCTGAGAGGTTCAGTTTTAGCACTTAAAAGATACTGAATATTACGTTGTTCAGTGGTGATATTAGATGATGGAATTGTAATATACCGGTAATTTTTGGGTACTTCGAATACTAATAAAACCCCAAAGGATCTACAGACAGGCAGTAGCTAAGAAGAGCAGATATTTAAATTTAGAGAGGAAACTTTCCATCAATATGTTTAGAGGACCATCAAAATATGAACGACGTTAAGCCACTCTGTGTAATGGTCCCAATAAAAAGCATAACCATTAATATATTCACACTGACATAACATGAATTATCTGGCAAAATCAGGCATGAATCATACAAGAAGGAATCTCAGCGCTATCTTTGGCCAGAAACAATGGGTCTGATACAAAACTTCACGAAACAGCCCACATTTGATTGTTTCTGGTTTGATGAACCACAGCAGAACGCTGGAAGAATAAGGCAGAGATGGGGCACACCTTCACACCTGCCCAGGACCAAAGGAGAGGAAACCGCGACAGAGAACCTTTAATACTGAACCCATAAAGGCACTCACTGTCTCAGAAGGTATCTCTTTAAGAAATCTAAGAAAGGTCTTACTCTTAGAGAACAAAAAAAAAAATATATATATATATATATTATAATAATAATAATAATAATAATAATAATAATAATAATAATAATTCGGTGGTTGCTCTCTCTCTGATCATAATTCATAATTCATTACAATGTAATAAACAGGAAGAACCTGCAAGCCTTGGTTCACAGTTGGGCAGATTGACTATTAGCATCAAGGTGTGAAGTATGAAGGTTTTGGGCTGGAAGGGAGGATCTCAATGTTGGCAGTGATAAGGGGCAGTGTGAACGAAGATGATGCCAAGGCAGCCCTGGCTGACAGACCCACCTCCTCCCCCAACACACCTGACCACCTGGTTCTGCATGAAGAACTGAGTCCATCTCTTGGTACCAATTCCTCCCAGTCTTCCACGTCTTCCACTCAGGCGAGGAAGACAACAAAGATGATGAAGAAGATGATGAGGATGAGGAAGATTTTTATCATCATCCAGCGGTTGGAGGAGACCGACTGGAAGTACTTGAGGATCTCGCCGTGGGCGGCGTCCACGTTCAGCTGGGTGTCCTCCACGTTCGCATCGATTCTGGAGGGTGGGTTGAGACAAATGCATGAACAACTCAGACCTTCAGAAGGTCCATAGCTATGCAGTTGTACCTACACTGCCTATTACCTGTGCACTGTCTCCTCTTGCTCCTTCACCATGTGGGCAAGCTGCTGGAAGATCGAGCCCAGCTCCACAATGGTGGACTCGATGTTCTGCATGGTGTCTGCTCGGTCCTGGATGTAGGACTCCTGAAAACACCAACAGCGTTGACACAGGATATGTATGTTTAGCAGATATGAAGGACCAACACATGTCACCAGTAGTATCTCTTTACTACCACTGAGTATGGCTGTAACAGTACATGTATTCAGTTCATCACTTTTAGTTTGCAGAAAGAAACAAATTAATACATCTACTGACAGAGGCACAGATGTAAATTAACATTGTGCTTAAGTAGTAGTTTCTGGATTTGCATTTTTCCTGAGTATTTGAAGTTGCTGCAACTTAAATGTTCACTTCACCACCTTTCTGAGTCAAATAATGATCAAATAATCTAATAAAACAAGTCAGTTCTACCATTAAGCTTAAGGAAAATGATCTTAATAAAAACACACATTTAAAAAAAACATGTCATCGTATTTTATTGCTGTGAACTCTTGCTGCAGCACTAAGGGTGAACTGGAAAATTTGGCACATGGCATGACAGGCACAGGAGAAGGAAATCCGGACGAGGGAAGAGATTTGGCATGACAGCTCTACTGTCAGTTTATGTTGCGCTGCCGAACGGATAGCTCATGGGAGTTTTACTTAAAAATATTCTGAGGGCAGAAAAAAATGATTGGTTCAGAGAGAGAGAACCAATCAGATTGTAGAGCAGGCGGGCCCAAGACATCTGATTGAAATTACATTTGTTATAAATGTTGTGAAGTGTATTGAACTGTGACCTGAGTGCATTGTTACAGCCCTACACCTGAGCATCGGATTACACAATTCTGGGTAAAAACTGAATCACGATTTTTTTCCACTCAGAATCCAGATCGAGACTTACTCTCACAATTCCTGAGCAATATCTTTCTCTTTCTTTTTATTATTATTATTCTCATCATCATTTAGCCATTTTCTGTAGTGGTGCATGAGGAATTTCGTTTGTTTAAAAAGTGACTGGCCCGTGACATGTTTGTAATTAATAATTAAATCTGGCCCGTAGGCCTAGATCAACCTTTCTTTTTCTGTAGAACAAACAAGTAGTGTAGTGTTGAGCTTGCCGGCGCAGTTTCACAAAATTTCCTGAATAAAAAGAAAATATCCGCCTATCCTCTCGCAGCACGATTTTCTTTATTGTGATGCATTGTAAAAGGATATTAAAAGGATATTAAAAGGATATTTCGCTTTTGGTGCGAGTTGGTTGGAGTTAATGCTGGTTACAATCAGTAATTTGGGAAAATTTATCGGTTTCCCAATAAATTACATCAGCACTGGAGTGCTGATAAGACTGAGACCATCTGTCAGAACTCAGATATGGTCCTGCAAACACATCCAACGTGCTAACTTGTTTCTGTCATTATCATCATCATCCGAGGGTGTGTATCACTGACCCCACACCTACGTTAGCACCATCTCTGCCACTCACCTGTTCGTTGACCAGCTGAAGCTGATGGTTGGCGCGGGAATCCATCTCTATGGAGACGTCTGCAGGCTTCTTTGGCTCATCTTGCATCAACAGAGAACCATCTGAATGGTTGCGAAAGGCACAAAGCACAGCGATTAGCATAGTGTCACTAATTTCCCTGCTGGTAACCGTTAGCGTGATCGCTCACTGTGCTCTTACCGAAGTTCCTAGCGTGCACGGTTGCCGTAGAAACTGGGGCATTCGAGAACTGCTCCCTACGACTTCGCTGCTGTTTAAGGTTCTGCGGGCACAGTGGTCAAGGTTAGGCCCTGAAATGTGTTAGTCCAGCCTTTCCAGGACATTCATGGAAGCTGTTAGGAAGGCCCAGAGTGTCTTACCTCTGTTCTCACCTCCAGGACCGATTTGAAGTCATTTGACATACATGCCAGTTTCGACTACAGAGCAATAAAGGCAAAAAGAGGCTTTCAATATCAAAAGCATCAATTCCAATAAGATAATGCAGCAAAACTTCTAAGAAACATGTGGAAATCGTTCATCCTTGATGTAGACAGAAGGTGATATAGAAATAGTGGGCTGTAAACAGATATGGATGCAGCTGTCCTGACCTGCAGGGAGACGACGACGGTGTTGGAGTGAGTCTGGAGATGCTTGCCATTCTGGCTGCCCCGAGAGCGAATCAGCTCCTGCAGATGGGCTATCTGCTTATTCAGGCTACTGATGTCCTGCAGATTGAGGGGTGGGCAAGCATGGTGAACACACAGCCAGAAAGAACCGGAAAGCGCGGCGGAACTGCCCGTGGCCGCAGCATACAGTTCTCTCTCACCTGCCGGATGATGTAAGTGAGCTCTTCGATCTCAACTGCTTTGTCATCAAACAGTGATTTCCTCTTGGCCACTGGGCAAAAATAGTAGAATGCATTTTCGTATTAACAGTGTCACTCTTAAACTAAATCATAATTTGCTGATTTAAAACCACCATCAGCTCTGAGATCACAAATCTTACACATTGTGAGTTTTTCCAATTTGGCAAATGTGTTACTGAGGTCTCTCCCGATTTTCCTGCGAAGACAAAGGAAGACAGAGCGCTTCTTATAAATCAGCCCAGCAGATGCTGAGACTCCACAGGGAGCGCAGAGTCATAACTGCAAGCTACCTGTTATTTAGCATTTGAAAACGAAATGCTACCATTCTACTGCTAACAGAAACAGCATGAAGACGAGGGACACAAATATGGAGACTCACTTCGCCATAAGAGTGAAGTCACTGCGTTGCCTGAGAGGACTGTGACCTGGTTTGTTGGCCTGGAACCCATTCTGAACAGGGGAATGGAAAAGACAGAATGATGATCGTCCTTAAGGCACGTACTTATAAAATCACCAAAAGATGCACAACAAATCAAATGGTGCAGTTTCTGTCTGACTCCTTTAGACGTGCAACAAGGCTAACTTCCCTCCCTAAATAAGCTACATTATGTATGATTTCAGCTAGCATCCTGTGCAGGGCATACGCTAACAAGGTGCCCCATGTTGCCTGCTCCAGACCCCCCACAACCCTGACCAGAATAAGCGACTGTATAGCAGTGTGTCGCAGGTGTATAAAATTTCGCCGGCATTAATCTTGTTACGTGTGCAATGACAATAAAGACATTCATCCATCTATCCATCCATTTTCTGAAACCGCCTGTCCTATTCAGTGTCGCGGGGGGGGGGGGTTTGGTCTGGAGTCTATCCCGGAGGCTACAAGCGCAACGCATGGAACAACCCAGGATGGAGCGCCAACCCAACGCAGGGCGAAAAGACACACCATTGATTCTTCAGTTTAAATTCAAAACATTCTATCACCTCTAAAGTATTACCTTGGACAAACATTTCTTCCAGGTTTTTATTAAATAAAAAAACAAAGGACCGCAACTTAATAATATTAATCAAGACGGAATGTACTAAATCTTAACTGCCAAATAGCAAGCCACATTTACGGGATCCTAAGTTATCCCTCAAATTAAGTTCCATAACGTTCACACCCTGAGATGCAAATCCTAATCCTGTAGGTCAGACGTAAAAAGGCTACCTCTACACTGTGTCGCTACTGTTCACGTCCCAATTTACTTACTTGCTGACTCTGGATAGACTTGCAAGCGGACAAGAACTCCTGCGTCCGATCTCGGCAAGACATTCTGCTCGTGTCCACGGGTGGGAGGGACAGGGATGGTGCAGCCACAGCAGGGGACACAAAAGCCGGTTCTGGCTGGTCGCTCAGCAGCGTTTGAGTCTGGGAAGGGCCGAAGTATGCCCCCTGCTGGCTACTTTTAGAACCGTGGCGACGACGTGCGTTCATGGGAGCTATGACACATCACCTGCCAGGTAAGGAAAACATCCCCAATTTCTTAGAATACATATTAACTGCAAACACACCTAAACAGTAGAGAAAGAATCAACCCAGTCCCTCTGCTTACTATTACCGTTTCTGTCACAGAGGAACACAACATTCTAGAATAACAAGTGGCACTTAAATTTAGTCTTAATCTACTTATAGTACACATTTATTACACCTAACCACTAGCTAAAGGATATAAATTTAATTTAAGCCGAAATGAATGTCAACCTAAAAACACCAATTATCAAAGTTTAAATCATCACGGCTCAACACAGATGGGTTTCAAAACGAGCGTACTTGATTAACAGGTCACATTTAAATTTATTCAACATTTAAATTTCTCTTATTGTTGTTCAAATACAAACCTATTATGACTAATCGATGCTATCTGACAAGGATCAAGAGAATTTCTGTCTCCTAAGTACGTAATCAAGCGTTTCTCTTAGCTACCAGTAGAGCGCCAAATACCCATATTTATTTATTCTTTTAAAACATACGACTTAAGAAAAACTTACCAGTCATCGCTATTATAAATTGTAAACGACTGTTATCTCGTACAATTTCTCTATTATTTTTATTCCAATTTGCTTCACCGAGCGATTAGGTCAATCCGGAAGTCCTATACCTAGAACACCGCCTTTTTCATTAAAACTCGGCAGAAGAGCACGAGAAGCCCGTTAGCGCGCTTTCCTATTGGTCTACATACACGTGACCCTTCACCTACGGCACCCTTTCCAGGAGTCTGATTGGGCGAATTACACGTCAATCACGTTACATGGCGACTCGTCAGCAGCAGTACGAGGCGTCAAAACAAGTTCAGTATAATCTTAAAGATTTGTCCAAATGTGAAGTAGAATAACGATTAAACTATTTCATATGAAAAATGAAGCGTCAATGCAGTGCAAGAAACCAAACAGCCATACTGTTACCGTTTTAAAACTGCGTGAGTCGGCCAAAAGCCTTTTGACATAAAACAATATAACTAAAACAAAATGAAACCTTTACAACCATTTGCGATTGGAACCGACACGTCACCATTTCTGCTGATATAACAAATGTGTGCTACCTGCAATTAAAACTCTTCTTTTCTGATGGTTTCTCTTCAGAAGCCTTCCCCAACCTTAGTATTGCGTTCTTGATCCGGGTAACTGCGCAAACGCCGACGTAACGCCACGTCTCACCGCTTCACTGTATTTAAACGCTAGACATCCTACTTCTCAGTTTCACTTCTGATGTTAAATCATGTGACTGTTATTGTATTGGAGAAATATTTTGGGAATAGGTAGTTATTTCTTACATCATTACCATTCTTATGAACTATATTGTATTTGCAAAAGTATTTTTTAGATTTCCACTATAGACCAAACAAATAGGGTAGAGAGAAAAGTGTAGCATAGATCGAGCAAGATTTGATTCATAATTCCTGTAATGCAACACAGAGTTGAACTGAACTGAAATCAGCTACATGTATGACTTTAATCAGTGACAAGTACAAAAAAGCTACTAATTGTTTATTAAACAAACATATACCTTTAGGAAACATCCAAGAAATCAATAACTTTACAAAAACATTTAAGTACAAATTCAAAGTGACTGTACATCCAGATAACAATAAAAAGAACCAGAACCTGAAACATAACATAACAACCAAGAACTTTGCAGTTTATTATCATAAAGAAATTAAAGCAGTAACTAATCCTTGACAGTCACTGGTATTTTTTCGCATTTTCTTTCAGCTCACTCTCTTGCAAGCTAGCAGCTTCATCTGTGAATGAAACATATTTGCACATCAGTGTAATCCAGTGCTTATATTTCGCTCAAGTAATATATCCACCCATTGTGACACTAAGACAAATACAAAAAAAACTAATGTCGCTTTGGAGGAAATGCAACGTTAATCATGCAGCGCAATTTCTTCGGTATCCTAAACTGCATCTACATACCAGCATATTCTGGATCTCCTCGATCTCAGGACTATCCATTAGTATCCTGCAAAAGGATCAAAGTCAGAGAAGCGTTAATATACTCCATGTGTTATTAGAAAACAGCGTCACAAAACAAACATGAAGAATCAAACCTACATCAATTCAGAACATTACATTTATTTTACGTCATTTAGTCATTCATTCACATGTTTGCAGGACGGCAGCAAGACTTGGCGTGCACAGCCGATCATCGACTGGTTAAATGACAGACTACACCAGTCAATGAAAAGTTCAAAGTTTAGCTATATGCATGAGACTTCTCGTCTCGATTGCTTAAACGCGCATGTATACATGTTGTAACAAAGCGTTGGGTGCACTTTGAATTTTACCCGCGAATTTCAGTACCTGTCCAGGCTTTCGTTTATGTTGCGAATGTTAGCCGTGATGGCTCTGGTGACGCCGGCGAGTTTTGTGAGTGACTCGCGGAGAACATCTTCCTCGCATTTGTCCGCCGGAGCCTTCAGAAGGAGCCCGGACCCTCGCCTACCCTCCGAGCGACGAGGCTCGTCTGCGCCGCAGCCCTCCATCGTGCGCTTAGGCTCCAAGGCGCGCCGTTTCGGATGGCGTCACTATGCGAAGTGCCGCCAAACCACGTGTCCGGTACGGGTGCGAGTGCACGGGATGAATGAGTGGACCAGCAAAGGTACGTTGACAAAGAAATCGGTGAAATATTAAGTTAATCATGTACAGTAGGACTACTACGCAAGTTTCTTTTCGGAAATGCCTACGCAGCGGTTTAAACGTCCGATTCGTAAAGGACGAACCATGGCGGAAGGTTGTTGAAGTGAAATTGGCAGGAGTGTCAAGTTAAACTCTTGCCTTTAGTTTTTAACCGGATTTATCGGTTTCTGTGGTGGTTTCCTTGCAGCTGTCCGTCACTGCATGAAGACACAATCCGCACACAGTTTGCTTTGGGATAAATAGGGGGCGCCGTTGTTCAATTTTTCTCACCTATCCAAATGTCATCCATCGACACACCTTCCAACTACATAACCAGTATAGTGTTGCGGGGGGCGGGGGCTGGATCTTAACCCAGGGTCCTAACCACTTTTCCTGCTCAAGGACACGGTGACCCAAATCTTGCTCAGTTGAAAACTGGTAAAAGCTTCATTCTTTTGAGTTAAGATTAAATTAAAATGTGCGCGAGTGTGCTAATTTTAGCTTGTGTGATGCTGTCCACGGTACTAAATGCATTTTAAAATGGTAGAGAAACATCTTCTCTAACTGCCATTTTCTGTCTGTTTTAAAACACACGACTGAGCTGATGCTGTTTAGGAGACACTCTGTAGTCTGCCCGTTCACATCTGCAAACGCAAATTTGGTAGTTCTTACAATTTTGTAGAAGACAAAACCATTACCCATAATGATGTTGTAGTGACATTTATTTAAAAAATAGACCATGAACAGTATGAACATTTTTGATGAATGTAAAGTTGCTGAAATTTAAGGCACTCTTCTTTAGTACATTGGAGCCTAAGTATAGGTGAACAGTAGTCAAACATATCTCACTCTCTCATATCACCACCCCAACACGCACAAACACAAAAACACGCAGAGCTACTCTTGGATTTTTAGATAAAACACGGGATGTCATTTTGGTGTTTTATATAAACCTTAAGCCATAGGTTAGATTTATATTAACTAAGATGTAATTAAATCTGATTGATATCACATTACAGAGGTTTGGCAGACTCAGGAATGGTCAGTCAGAGTTTATGAAAGTCAATGCCCCACAGAAACACAGAAACAGGACTGATGTAACAAAGGCAGACATCCTGTGTGTGTGTGTATTTAAAATGATTTGACTTTCAGCATTAAACTACATCAACATTCAAAGCCTGTTTCACTGATGCACTTTTCCATGTATTTCGTGGTATAGAGCACAGTGCAAGGTTAGGGTTAGGGTTAGGGTTAGGGTTAGCCTTTTCAGCTAATTTGCCTAGCCACAGCTGCCTCGCGTGAACACACCATCTGCAAAAGCACACAGCTACAAAAATGCTCCCGTGATTAAAAAATAAGGTTCCTGCCCCCACGGCTCTGGTCCCACCCTGCTCCATTTCTTCTTACAGTACCTGCTCCAGGATCAGTAATATACGGTTACACAGATGACGCAATGCATGCATACAATTGCACATTTATAATCTGTCAAAGAATCATTTCATTATTTTGAAGTGATGAAAAGTGAAGGTAACTTTTAAATAGTGGCAAGCATTAATTCATAGTTAAGAGTTTTAAAGAGACGGCTACTCCTGGTTTAATTAAAAGTCACTTCGAGTTAGCTACTAAATATTTTCCACATACATTTCCATACATAAGTATGTATTGGCTACACTGGATTTTCTCCCGTTTTTTCTGAGCTTTGCCCCCCCCCCCCAGGGCGAAGTTTCTATTACATGCGCGTGATAATCCCAAGGCTCACTGGACCCTTGCTGCAAAGCCTTTTGAGTTACAAAGCTACTTAATTTTAAACTATATATCTGTAGCCGTAAGGTTTGGTTTCCACACTGGTAAGGACCAAATCTGCCCCCCACCCCCCGGAACACACACAGTACCCCCACAACACTGATAGGGACATATCCCTAGCATACAAACCAAAACCAATGTCCTGGATAATCTAGACCCTAGAAACAGGAAACATGAGCGAGAAGTAAAAGTCAAAGGCGACCTTACAAAACAATCCTTTGTGTGGCACCAAACTCAAATCCAGCCCCTACAATCCAGCATAATGGGACACAGTGGAGAAATACAGGCTATAAAAAGACTATAAATGCTATATTTCATTCTTAAATTATTAAACTACAAGGTTTTATGTTATAATTTTGAATAATTATTAGAATAATTAAAGTGGGAAGACAACATTGGTTTATCTACTTCAAGAGTAAAATTAATCGTGTTCGAAAATGACAGTGAGGAGTAAATTATCTTATTTTCCCTTTATATAGACAGACTTTAGCATTCATGCAGAGTGGTTATTCCTAAAATTCCTCCACTCATCCATCCTCATTGAATCTCTCACTCCTGATGTCGTTTGGATGGGGGTATGAGGTGATATGGCAGGTCAACGGGCAGCTCATGGCCTTCCAGCTTCACTTTGATCAGGTGGTTAGCCAGGGCAAACTCCTCGTTGTCCAGGAAGCCATCCCCGTCCACATCAGCCAGCTTCCAGATCTTTCCCAGCACCGTGTTGGGCAGCTTGGACTTGACCATCTCCTTCTTGGCCATTGCGCCTGACACCTTGCCGTTGACGGGCGAGAGCGTGTAGAAAATCTCATCGTACGTGGGCTTGTCACGTGCCACCACCCACTCCAGCTCATCAATGCCCTCGCTGGCCCCCTCTCCATAGCCATGGCCGAAGGGACCGTTGCTGGTGCCGTCGAAGGCGCCCCCTTCGACCAATTGGCTTGGCATGGCGGATTCCTCCTGGCGGACCAGGGTCATGAGCTTAGCGATGTCATTGGCCAGCATGTCCTCCACGGCGTCCATCAGCTTGGGCTTCATAGACTGGAATTTGCTGAAGTCGTGGATGCTTAGGATCTCCTGGGGTCAAAGGAAAATGGCAAACACGCTGTTGGGAGGTGTCCAACAAAAGCATGATGGATCTGCAGTAGGGCTGCTGGGTTATGGCAAAAATCACAATCGTGATTTTTTTTAATACAATTAATCATTGACTTTGGAAAAGTCATCATCTAGACGTTGAAAAATATCTTTATATAATTCAACTGAGAAACAAAAAGGGGCTGGAAAGCTTAAACGCAAAACAAAATGTGAGCCACACTGAGAAACAAAATAATTATTGTGGCACATTTCATCTTGATTATTTTGTTTTGATAATCGTAATTTCGATTTTGGCTTCCAACAATTAAAATTCGATCAATTTCCCAGTCCTAACCTGTAGCTAGTCCCTTGTTCTAGTCATCATAGTCAAGTAGTTCCAGAGACATTTATCAAATCATCTGTGTATTTGACCCATTATGAGGGTTTCCTGATTGTAGTGCCTGAAAAATGTGTTTTCTATCATACACCTGTGTGTTTTAAGCCAGAGGGATGATGGGAGAGATCATTCATGAGCTTCAAAACTCAGAGTAGATGAGACTACCAAACACTACCAATCACTGGTTAGTTTATCCCGGTAATGTTTAACAAAGTAACCAATGTGAAGAAAGTTAAACTATCCATTTCTCCCACAGTGAGAGAAAAAAAAGAAATCGCATTTGACTTGAACTTTATACCTGCATCTTTATGATGTTTGGGAAGTCACCAGGTGATATCTGATACTCTTTCTCGACCTTCAGGTAAATCTCCCCCAGGTTGGCGATCAGCTCCTTCTTCTTGTTTTCTTTGCCAAACATGTTGGGCATCTCTCTCTTTAAGGCGCTGATGATGTATGCGTGAACCTGGACAGATATGGTTTAATTGGAATTGCAGTCTGGCATAAGTGACGCTACCAGAAACTACACTTGCTTGATCAAATAATGCCAATGCAGCTTTTATCGATGTTCTTCACTAGATCAGCTTAATGAAAGGAGTGGGGTCATGGACCTCATCTAGGAACACATGCATGGAGAAACGTTCTGAGCTCCAGGTGCTGAAAGCCGGAACAACGAATAGATCTTACGGACGTACTTTGGTATCGTCGGTAGCTATCGACAGCTGACAACGAGATAACAAACATGAAAACACTACAAGTTACAAGCATTCTCACTGCATCAGCATTGTCACCACAGCCTGAAATACCGATTGCCAAGGTAATGAATGACAACAAACATGGTGCTACAACATAGTAGCTAATGATTGCAATCCATCATATTGCGAGATAATTAACGCAATACTATGTTTTTCGTTGACGAAAACTAGAGGCATGGGTTCACTGCGCTACAGCATTCTGCCACTGCAATAACACCAACAACCAGAGGGGGTGCTGAAGCACTCTCAGGATCCATACTTCCATTGCTACCGTCTAGGAGTCTCGCTCCTCAATGCAAGACCATACACCCATCATTCACACTGCCCCTTCTGGAATCCCACCTTGGCAAGGCGAGCACGCTTGATGAGGTCATTGAGCTTGCGGAGGGCAGCATTCCGCGGAAGGCTTTGGATGTCGCGAAACAGGTCCTGCTCTTCTGCCTCGAACAGTTTGCGGTTGTCGGGCACCAGAAGCGGCTGGGACCAGAAGGAGCCGATGTAGACGCGGATGACCTCCGGAGTGTTGACGATTTTGCCCAGCGACCACATGAGGGCGCCATAGACCCGCATCAGCTGCTGGGTCCCGATCTGGTCAGCTTTATTGAGCACCACGCGCATCTTGTCCTCATGGTTCTTCAGGGCCCGGATCACCTCCGAGAACTCATCCGAGATGTCCAGCTTGTGTGCATCAAAGAGGAGGATGATGCGGTCAACCCGCTCTGCAAACCACTCCAACACAGCAGCAAAGTCGTAGCCTGGAGAAGTAAGGTACACAATGCCCTACTTAGACAACGCAAGCCCTCTGGACACTCTTCAAAATGATAACATGACCATTATTTTAATTCTAAGAATGGAATATGTGTGACAGGTGAAACACCATAATGAGGCTTCTAGGACAGCTGGAGGATGGAGGCTCAATGTGTCAGGGCCAGTAACAGCATGGACACGACATTATGGGAGACGCATCTAACTGTACAGCTACAAACAAGCAAAGGAGGTCATGGAGAAGCATGGAGGTGAAGCTTCCTGTTTGAGGAAATCTATGTTTAATTTAGCGCCCACTTCCTAAAAACTGTATTCCAGAAACACGCAGGCGGCTTTCACAAGCAACTACTTGTTATCAACAACTAATTCACAGCAACACGATACATCCACACCCCAGGAATTCTAATTATAAACTTCCACATGAAATGCACAACTCACACGTTACTTCCTGTCCTTTCAGTACCACACTAGAGATAGGATCATCCCAGCTAACAGGGAACGTTCCCAGAACTTTAGCTAACATTATATGAAGGTCTTCTCAAGGTTAGCAGAGAACTTTCTTACTATAACATTTCCACGTTTTGCATTATAACAAAGGTTCTGTTAATACATTGATAAATAATGCATTCATAAAGCATTATAAACAAGGCTACAACTATTTATCGAAAGGCATAACATATTAGAGCATTGTGTATTGTTCATTATGAATGCTTTATGAAGCTCTTATCTATAATGCACTATAGATACCTTTATAAGGCATTATAATGGTCTGTATAAGAATTAAGGACTCTTGATACTGCATTATAAAGGTATCTATAGTGCATCATAGATGACAGCTTCATAAGGCAGTCATAATGCATAATAAACTTAGTCTTAGTGAAGTTGCTACAATTAGTCTTAGTTGTAGTAGTAGGATACCATTCTGGGAACATAAGGAAAACTGGACACTTTGAAATTCTCTGTACCTTAATTGCAACATTCAATAAATGTTCTGAGAGCGAAAAAATCGTTATACACTGCTCTTGGTGCATTTTCAGAACACCGGGCATTGATGTAGTTGAGGGACAGGGGAAGGGCTGTGTGAGTAACGACAATGGCCCGCATCCAATGGTGTACAGATGAGTTATTGTTTCAAGTAACGGCAGGCCAATGAATCCTGGAGAATCTCGTCCGGCGCAACTGCGTCGGCCAGCGATTCCGATCAGGCCTACGTCACCGTCCGTAGGCTGACCTTGTGTCGTAGGGCATTAGCACTCCCTTTATGCCGATAGCTGGCAGCCCGCCCTATGATAACATACAGTCATTAATATCAGAGGCTCGACGGCCAATAGGATGTCCTCTCCTGACCTTGCAAATGATATCAGCTTACAATTAACCATCCTCCGTTGGTTTTCTTCAGGGCGTCTCGTAGCGACTTCACTAATAAACCACCTTTGTTTGGCCGATGGCTGACTTCATGGACGTTGGATACAGTACGGTCAGGCGGAGAAATTGGAGCTGATCAGCGCCAACAGCAATTACAAGAGGATTAAAATGGACAGGAGAATTTGGCAACTCCCAAGAACTCAACACAATAGGCAGCTGGGGCTAAATCGAAGTGGCAGATATTTAAACGCCTGGTTTTGCGCTTAACAGAAGGTGTGGCGGGGTATAGTGTTAGCACTCTTCAGTTTTTCCACTGCAATCACCCCCCCCTCCCCCCTTCCTTCCTTCTTGGGGATATCCTAATGGAAATTCCCCCTCTGGCATTCTGGGATGCCTAACTTGTATGCATACACGTGGTATGTCTGAGTGAGACATGCTACAGTTGTAACGCAGAAGATGTCGGTCGCATAAGACCCCGAAACCCGGGTCGTGTATAAAACACATCTCTGTAAACCGACACCAGCCATCCGGGCAACGAAAATAGACACGTCCAAGAACTTGAGGTCCAGCCTGCCTGAGGTCTTGTCTGCAGCACCACAGGGAACGTGAAACTCTACAATCCGATCAATATCAGGCTTGTATTCAGTAGTTTCAGTAGTAATTTCTACTGAATGTCCTTCCCCGTCTGACCCTGCAGTTTGTCGCGGAATTTGAAAACACTTAAGATACTGAAGTTAGAGTCCGTCAGTTCCAGGAAGGAAAATGTCCAGCATCCCCTTAACAAGCTGCCCAGACACAAGACCTGAACCAAAAAAAACACTAAGGGGTAGATACTCATGGGGGGCGATGGCTGTGTCTACCAAAGGAATGCATGTCTTACGATCAGTGGTTACCGGGTACGGTGAGGTCATTCTTGGCACCGGTGAAGTATTTAAGAGCAGAGCTTTGTGGAGTGTTCCGTTCTCTGCAGTTCCTGTGTGTGCATAGTGGTGATAAAAATCACAGGAGGAGGACGTTTAACCCCCCCCCCTGAAAAGCACGGTCACGCCAGAGCATTACGCACCAGTGTAAGAACTACTCTTTATAGCTTGTGTCACGTGACTGACTGGACACACCATCAGAAATGGTTCTCAGAATTGAACACGCGTGGGGGTCAGGGAGGCACCCGGACTTCCTGTCTCCTGTCTTTTCGAATCGTCTACAGAAACTACAATTGCCGCGCTCTGAGCGCCGGGGGACGTAACCGGACACCCCAAGAAGGAATCAGCCTGCTGTTTGGACGGGATGGCATGTACAGTATATAGTAAATAATGGACTGTGCCCGAGAGAGACGAGTTTGAGTGACTGGAGCAGCAGTGCATTCTTAGTGCAGGAGGGTCACCGAGTCCTGGGGCGAACGGGGTTACCACGGCAACAGAGGTGGCTGACTACAGCTACATTAAGTGAGACGTAAATGACCCTTCAAGATAAACTCGAACGTATGTCACGCAAACATTCCACGAGCTTAATGCCCATGTCACACACGAAGGCAAAAAAATACATTTATTTAAAAAAATCCTCGGCCTATCTAGATTTGGTGCGTGTAGGATAAATCGTTAAATTACGCTAAAATATTCTTCACTTTATGGGAGTTAGAAAGTCACGATTTTCATCTCGTAAAAGGCATGGTGACAGGGTAAGGAATGGTACGAGGAAAAAAAAAAAAAAACTTCCACCTGAGAAAGTATTTTACAGGTGAGAGTCAGCAGACGTAGGCAGATTATTAACTACGCTTACAGAGGCGGTGACCGTGCCAGGTTTCAGATGCAATACGCAGCAATGCGACACCGGACCCAGGCTTCACCCCCCCAGGGCAGGGTGTAAATCCACTGTTGTCATGCAGAATGTAGGCAGTGGATATTTAATTTTGGTATAGAAGGGAGAGTTTGAAGCTAGAGCCTATCATGTGTCCATGAGATATTATCCCATGCCCTGACCTCTCCAGAAGAGCGGCCTGGGCATGCGGGTGGAAAAGCGGCAGGCACGGCATGTTTGTTTAGGATACAGCCCCCACCCCAAGATGGGGGACAATGGAGAAGTGCAATCACGGCCCGGCCCCAGACTCCATTGAAGGCTTCCTGTGTGGGTACAGGTGGGGTTTCTGGCCGAGGAGCGACAGGAAGTGGGCGGGGACCTGGCTGGCAGCTGAATCATCACTTCCTGTGTGGGTACAGGTGGGGTTTCTGGCCGAGGAGCGACAGGAAGTGGACGGGGACCTGACTGGCAGCTGAATCATCACTTCCTGTGAAGCGGAACATCAGCTGCCACACGGCTCCCAGCGCTGGTCACATGGCTTCTGGCAAGGGCGAGCAGCTAGTTGACTTTTAACCCCCTCCTCCCCTCCCTTCCCCCCTGCACCCACCCCCTGTCAATCTCTCAGCCTTTTTCTTAGAGGCTTCTTGACCATTTCAAGTCTACTCAACACATCATTGCTTTCTCTCACGTTTATGGCCTTGTGGACATATACCATCAGGAATTTGATATCACAGTTATGTCATCATTGCAATGGTCATGAGTAGCTTTTATGGTCGATCCAGTTGAATGGAAGTCCTGGCCTGTTTAGCGTTGATCGTACTGGGAGTGGGATCTGGGTTTGTCCGACAGTCACGTCACAGTCATCCTCCTCTCTTCCTCGGCCTCTCCCGCCGCACCCTGCTCTCCCATTCAGTGGAGAGTAAAGGTTGCGTTCATACTGACTGAGACTATAAAGCACAAGTGCCACATTAATGTAATTACGAGAGCTGTTTATCGTCTCCCTGCAGACCAGGACCTGTTAGCTATATCCAGCTAGTTCTGTCCTCTTTTCAGGCAGCACCTCCATCCATGAACCCCCCCCGACACGCACACCAAAGAACGCTCCCCCATCTGGTAGCATATTCTAAACGCATCAGCCGTGCTTACAATTCGGTCGTCTCCCCACTTGACGTCTTTGGCAGTGATCCTTAAAAACAAGGAGGCTCCACAGATTGATCGCCACGGCAACGTTTAATCAAACACACTACAGCGGCATAACATTCCGTGGGCGGAACACCATTCCGTTACGCCGGAATCCCGTTCTCACTCCTGTAGCACACAGATTCCAACGTAAACAGAGCAGCTAAAAATACACCGTGCTGCTGTACCAGTCAGAGCATATGGGGTCCAGCGGGAATCGGGAATCCCAAACCCCGACTTGCATCGGACACAAATCTGCATAATCAAATATCCACAACACATCGACTGTCGGCTTATTTAAGGCGCACAGTTAGCTCACGGCTTTTGAAAACTTTTTTTTTTTTTGAGTGAATGGTCTCTAAAGTCGTCAGTCCCGGTCTGACAGTTTATAAGAAAACATCCCGACCCGCAGTGAGAGTGACAGGGGTAAGATTCAGGAGACAGGAAAGCACACGAGACAGAGCAAAAGAGTCTCAGTCTTTCCTGTTTTATGCACTGTACTGCTTCCACAGAAATGTTTCCCTAAATTCTATGCTACTTCCAGGAAGTGGAAAAAATAAGCCTGATTGAGGGAAAATAGGAACTGATTGTATTCATCTCTGCCATTTGTTTAGGGTGACTAGAAGTAATGTACTTCAACTTGAATTATGAACATTTTAAATTTACCATTACTTTATGAAAATGAAAATAATTTTATCGATTTATCAGTGGTGTTTAGATTGCTGTGGACAGAGGGATGGCTCTGAGGCTAGGGATCTGTGCTGGCAATCGGAAGGTTGTTAGTTTGAATCCCATGAATGCCAAGCGTCCTCCTACTCCATTGGGTCCTTCAGCAAGGCCCTTAACCTGCAATTGTTTCATCCTGGGTGTGACATTAACCTGCATCCAGCCCTGCAAGCCAGTCCTCGATCTTTCAGGGAGAATTTGGGGGTTGGTGGCAGGATTGGCACTCCAGCCACCGGGAAAAACACTTCACACTGTTCCATTCCATTCGACCTAATGTGGTGCCGAGGTATCGAATGGCTGCCCTCAGGCTCTCATCCTGAGGTGGTCTGTTATGTGGTGTAACGGCACATGCTCCTTACATGTATCTCTTTAAAATGCTCTGTTTAAATGTGTTGCTATGCATCAATCTCCTTGGCTACATAATTTGCACTGCCTGTTTGGACGTGACCTCAGAAGCGTACGCACCTCTGCTGATCCTCTGCTTCTCGCCAGACAGGATGCCCGGGGTGTCGATGATGCTGATGCTCTCCAGCACTGGATTGGGCATCTGAGCACACACAAACCTGGGGGCAGATGGGGTGGGGGGGGGGAGAGGGGAGTCACATCACACGCTATGACTGGAAACCGAACGAACTTTCTTCTGTTACGGACAACTTGGATCCTTCCAGATACTAAGTAACAATCTCCCAGTGGTGTTCTATAGCACAGCTCGCGGTTCCATCCTGCGCGAACTGGCAATTACAAACATGTTATAAACCAGCACAAACAGGATTCTTTCTATACCCATGCCAGGTGCGTAGCTTTACTTTGTGAAGTGGAAGTACATTAGGGAAGTATCGAAAGACCTTCCTCAGAAGCCTTCAAAACCTTAAGGTATTGATGATGTGTGGGGGAGCATTGCCGCTTAAGCTCATCTGTTCACGAAACTCATTGATACTGCTGCTACTTGTGTTGCCTGCAACCGCCGAAGTTATGATTCCACGAAATCTAAAAATGCCTTCCAGTGGTGTCATTTAGCTGAGGGGGGGGGGAAATCTTGTGCACAGAAGCGAAAGATTTAAACATTGTGACCGGTGGAAAACCAACAGCTCAGAGCTCACATTGAGGGGCGATATGTGGCTCGGGGGATTAGGAGACCGGATTTGCGGTAGGTAGGTTGCTGGATCAAATCCCAGGGTTGACAGAGTGATTTCAATGTCCCTAACTCCGAACTGTTGCAGGTACTGTCTGACACTGCTTTCTCAAAATAAATAAATCTGCTAAACAAACTAAAACAAGCTGTACCTTAGACATCCTTGAGTTCCCCTTTATTACATCACTCTAATGTTTGCCTTCACCTTCAACCTGTTGGCTTCATTTCACCCCTTCCCTGATCCCACTCTCCTGGCCGGCATAAGCACATTCTCACTAACCTCTCCCTCTCCACCCCACTCCATCTCTTCCAAAAGCTTCCCAGCATGCCTAGGGGTCGTCGTCACCCTAAGACGGCCTTCCAAGAGTTGTTTTTTTTTTTGCCCCGCCTCCTTCCCCCTCATCCCGCGCCAGCTGGCGTGGCACGTCCCATCACTCCCCATCGGCGTGTCGGAACGCAGAGACGGCGCAGGCCGGCACGCGAGGGGCTCCGGTGCATTCCGGCCTGTCAGAGACACGCTCCTACTGTCCGGTCGAGCGCACGTGAAGACATAAACCATTTGGTCAGAAGCCCAGGTTGACGTTTCTGTTGGCCCCAGTTAACGTTAAGGAATGCTTGGGTGTACAGAAGAATAATTGCCTGTGGAACATGCATTTTTTGAAGAATGGTGTAACTCTTAAGATACTCAACTCTGGACATAGAACACCAGAATCCTTTTGTTTTTCACTCATCCTCAGCTGACACCCAGTGTTAAAAGCATAGTGTTAAAAGTATGGTGTTAAAACTATGGTGTTATAAATATTCCCTAAGATCTGAGCGTTAATCAGCCCTTTTCTAAAAGCTGACCCTCTACCTTCAACCACACCACTCCGGGCTTGTTCCACATCTCCACCCTATGTGCTTGCATCTTATTGGTTGCCAAGGTCACGTGACCAAGTATTCTTCAACATTTTAGTAGGGTTCACTCTGAGGATTACTAATCCCTGAAATCTGAATTATTCACTTTCAAGTTGTCAAAACCAATGTGATTCATCTTAACAGCAAACTCCATCACAAGACAGCTGTACCATCAGTATTTAGCAAAAATGCATTTACCTCTTCCTACAAACTTTTGCCTTTATTCTTGGGGTTAGGCAGCCATCTTGGACAGTCATTTCAGGGATCAAAAGAAAAAGGCAGCTTTTGTTACTCTTCCTGGTCTTTCACAGGCTTCCTCCCAGGTGCTCGCTTCCTTCTGTTAATCAGTGGCTGGACAGCAGCCTAATACTATCATCCCATGTGTTCTATATCTTTTACATATATAATCGTTAGGAATGTCAGGAATATAGACGTGTGGGAGTCTCCATAATGGAAGCCCAGGCATCCAACTGCAAAGGCTGAACCAGTCCTATCTACACAGGGGCATTGCTAAGACCTTAAGACCTCAAGGGCTGAGCCCAGATACCTAATCTATCTGAAGGTCATCATATTGAATTCTCTCTCTCTCACGTCAGGATGTTCGTAGCGTTATGGAGGTTTTGGGAAATTTAGCCCTGGACTAGAACATGGTTGCTAGAACATCTGAGCTAAACAAATCATCCAGGGCTTGTTTTGATTACTTAGAGCTTCAGCCCCAAGGTTTATTCGCACTATTCACTACATCTTCGAATAATTATAAAAAAAATCAAAACTATGAAATAGCATATATGGAATTATACACTGACCAAAAAAGTTTTTTTGGGGTGGGAGGCAACTCTGTGGGTTGGGTTTCAGAAAGTTGTTTGTTCAAATCCTGTGGTTGGCAGAGTGATGCCACCATTGGGTCCTTGAGCGAGGCCCTTAACCCCAATTGGTCCAGGGACTGACTGACCCTACTGCCTCCTCCACGCCAGTTCCATGAGTTGGCCTCCTGGGATGCTTTTCCAGCTCTCCTGAAGGAGGTCCCACCAGGGACGGATTATGGGTTGTGTGGGCCCCTGGGCAAAACGTTCGCGAGGCCCCCCACCACCACCGCCAGCACCCCCATCCCCCCATAGGGTCAGGGGCCCTTGTAGGCAGAGGATCAAAGAATGTAGGCCCTCTAAAATACACAAACGAAAATACATTGTTGATAAGCGTTGCAAATTGTTTTGGGCTAGGTCCGTAATCCGTCCCTGGGTCCCGCATATATGCTGAGCACTCATTGGACGCTTTTCCTTCACTCTCTAGTCAAACTCCTCCAAAACCATCTCTCCTGTGTTTAGGTCAGGTGGCCAGGTCAAGTGATGCAGCTCCATTACTCTCCGTTGTAGGTGGCTTGGTGTTTCCAAACTTTTGACACGCACCATAAAAGTGCTCCATCCGAAATCTTCCAAGAAAAACTCCTTCCCCGATAACAACCTTTGCCGGTCTCCAAAAAGCAAAACCCCTAATTCTGTAAGGTCTTCCATCATAAATAAAATGCACACTGACAAAATTCAATTTTTCCGTAAGGATACACACCTCAAACATTTGACCTGGGCTTATCAATCACACAGGGATGCCAGAGAGAGCAGGAAGAACTCAGAACAATAGAAACCTACAGAAACCTCGTGAGTAACACTTAAGATGGTTATCAAAAGTCAGACATCTGGATTCTAAGGTTTTCCTGGATTCCATTGGCACGAATGGCCAACTGTCCCAACAATGAGCCCTTGATTACATATTTTTGGGTTTGGACAGTCAAGATGGGCCAACACCTTTGCTGAACTCGGAACGGCATCTCAGTAAATAAGGAAAAAGGCGGCATTGTCAAAATGACGTCCTTCAGCTAAATTCATTCAGCATTTCCAGTGTTCAAACTGGAGGAGCATAATGGAATCCTTTACATTTCTCCAGCCCAGTTATAAAAGCTTGCCCATTCAAAAGCCTTATTTTGGCGATAAGTACATTTCCCACCTGGAAATGACAGCATTACTGTGCAGATAAAATATATTTTTACTCTCCTCTCAATTTCAGATTTCAACCACGCCACAGTTGTTCACATTTGATTCTTCATTTACTATAGTCTACAGTCACGGGGAATGTGGTTTTTAACCAGAACATAAAATAAAATACTGGGGAATTCATGAAGAAGAAAAAAAAAAAATTTTAGCGATAACACTGACAAATGGCAGCGAAAACAAATATGACAGGGGATTAAGGACTGAGACTCAGGAACCCAGAATAGAAAAAAGTCAATGCCGGAGTTTCAAATCAATTCAAACCTTGAATCAATGCCCTTAATGCTTCGGCACCAAACCCCTCAGGAAAGTCACTGGATGGATAAGATGCTACTGCACTCTCAACTGTCACAGTGTTATGTAAACACCATACATCCGCCTTCAGCAGAAAGGGCTTCGACACAATGCTCACCGCAATGCATAAAAGTGCAAACATGCTTTCCTATGGTTCATTTTGCTAGATTTGATGGATGCCATGGAAGGCCAGCTCCATTACTGACCTCATTCATAGCTTTTGTTGCTGTCCGATTCCCTGCCCTGAATAGTAATGGATGCCTGCCACTGGTCTGTCTGTCCGTCTGTAGTTCTCACCTTCTTCCCATGCCAGGACAGGTGCCCGATGCAGTCCAAAGGCATTGCATATATGTGTCCTGTGACAGACTGGCATCCTGTCCAGGGCATAACCCAGCCTTGTGCTGCCCAGGTGTGGACTAGCCATCGGGAAGTTCGGAATTTTCCCAGTCTTGTGAGGGCCAGTATTCCCCTAACTGCCCCCCCCCCCCACTCCAGTGCACCCCTGGTGCTGTCTACAAAAATCTCCAGGCCCCTGTCCAGCCCTGAGCAGGATAAGCAGCTGCAAGATAGATGGATATTATAGAGGATACTTATTATTCAGCTTGAGGTGCGAGCCATTCCATCCAGCTTTTAGGCTCAATGGTACAGCAGCAGGGAACCTCCTGGGATTTTAAGGGGCAGTTATATTTAATTCAGCTTCTGGATATTTACATTAGCAGCTGTCACATAGTACAGCTTAATGAGCATGACGAAAAGCACCCACTGCACTGTCCATGATCAGACACGTGCACAGTCTGGTCAGTGAGTTACACGCCATGGACTGTGAACACGTTAAAAAGTTCAGCATAAAACCGACCACTGCCATGGAACAAACGCCATGTGTCAGTTAATGGTTGTTAACTCCACAGCCATACATGTTTACACAGGTCCTTCGGTCGTCTCGATTCCATTAGTAGTTTTGAAAGTAACACATACTACGTCATAAAGTAACAAATCGGCGTAATATTAATTATAAAAAACTGACTTGATAGCAGAATTCTTTTTAAGGAGTCGGTACGTCAAAATGCTACATTAATGCGGGATAGTAATCGTTATAGATTAATTTCAGTTAGACGACTCGATTATTCAGCATGTTGTTAGGCATTAGGGAAACCTGAGAAAGCAATTTGTTTTACGTTATAAGAAATAAAGTATACTGGCTAATGATTAATCGCTTGTGGAGAACTAAGGTCAAAAGAAGGGTAGGCCTATAACTTGAACTTTGTTGCCGATATTTGGTTCGCTCATGCATGCGAAATTGCTTGTATTCTAAGAACGTTTCCTTCCAACGTTAATAGGGAATTTCGATCTTTCCCCATAAACAACTTAAATTTTAAAAAATAGATTGGAAAATCTAAACAAAAAAAAAAAATCGAATTTTATAAATTCCTATTTCGTTTTAAATGTCGACTCCGAAGAGGCCAACGTCTGGACAATGTCCTCCAAATACCCCCCAAAACAGTTAATCATTTGTGTTAGAATTTAAAGCAGCCAACTTTCGACGGCTATATTTTGCTGCGTAATAGCCAGATAGGCACTGGACACAAACAGCGAAGATATCGCCCAGAAAATGAATGGACCAGCCCCCTTTGCTATCAGACACTGACAGCCCTGATGCGTGCCAAAACCTCACAATATCTGCGTAAAAGTCCGGGCTAAAATTATACATATAAAAAAGGATCAGCCAAAGATCTGCACAAATTTACTACTTAATTATCATATTAAGCAGTAGGCTAGTTTAAATTACATTGCTGATGATGCATTGTGACAATTAACTGTCTGACAGTTAACTGTCTGATGATCACTTTAATATTAAAAACTGTAAGAAAGTAATTGGTTATTCATGAATGAGATCACGAAGGTCACCTGTTGAGGAAAGCGTTGCCAAATGCGTTGAGTTTTCGGAACGGCTTTTTTGGATCGACGACCAGAGCGTTCCCCGGTACCAGCCCCTCCTGCTCGCCGTACATGACCGCTATGAAGGAATCCGTGGTCGGCTCCGGACCGATCCTCATACCGGGGAAGTCCTGCTCCATTAGGTGCCGTATGAAAGTGGTCTTGCCGGTGGAGTACTGACCCACCAGCAGCACCATGGGCTTGTTGTCAAAGTCGGCGTCTTCGAGAGCCGGCGAGTGAAAGTCGTGGAAGCGGTAGGCGTCCTCCAAAGGGAACAGTTTGGTCCGGTACAGCTTTCGCAGTCCTTCCGAGACCGTCTGAAAAAGTTCGGGATTTTTTTTCCTCCCGTCTCTGAACATGGTGCCTGTGTCTTTTCCCGTCTTTAAAGATGCAGAAGAGAAGTCTATCACGAAAATCGAAAAAAAATATTAACCAATAAATTGGAACCCGTGCGGTTCTGTTTTGTTCCTCTGAGGTTTAAATTTCACCAACACCAATCACTTATATAAGTACGACTCCAATGAAAATTACTTTTTAAAGTACTTTGATGACTTAGTATGCCGTTATTCCGGGTGTGTTTTTGTTTTGTTTGTTTGTTTTTTTATTTCATATTAATATATACGATAACTTCTCCCTGGGAAGCGGACCATCAGCGTCCTCGCCGTCAAAGCAGCTGATATCAGTAACCAGCGAGCTGAGATCGAGCTTAAACTGCTGGCCGGAAGAAAGAGAAGGAGTTCAAAATAAAAGACCCCACCCCTCCCTCCACGAAGGAACCGATCATAATATTATTAATGAGCTTTAACACCGGGGCGTAGTTAGAGATGAATGTGTAGGGGGGCTGAGTCTGTAGTGGAGGGGGGCAAATTTACATATAATATAAACAACTTATTCATGATTCAAGCCAACGAATGCACATTTATTGGGGGGAGGGGCTACGAACATGTTTTAGGGGCAACCCCCCCCCCAAATAATCCTAACGGCGCCCCTGCTTTAACATATAATATTTTAACTGTATCACATTATTATATGTAAATTAATCATCTTTATGCATTCATAACAATATTATATCATTGCCTTAATGCATCAATGTAGCTTTATATTTACAGTTACATTATATATGAGTAACAACAGTGTATAGTTTATAGAAATGGTTAAAATGTTGCCGTTTTAAATTAATAGACAAAATGTATTACTTGTTCATAGAAGAAAGAGTACACCACATGCATGTGGTCCAGCCCAATAATAATAATAATACATTCATATGCACTTTGAGCACTGCATCTTTTGTGTGTGTGTTTTTTCAGTGTGTATTAATTTAATGTGTTAATCATTTCTTAAAAGAAACATACTGAATATACTAGCCAGGGGTGGAGTAACGTCTCTGGGAGCCTTAGGCTGACGGGCAGGGGGCCACCTAATAATATGCTAATTGATAATATGCTAATCAAAGCGCGGGTACTAGTGATAAAACTTGCCAATCAGGGTGGGAGGAGTGCTGTCAGTAAAATTCGCTGATTGGACGGAGGGGCAATTACGCCATCTGATTGATGGGACAATTTGGAGTGGACAATCTCTGTATTTTGTTACAATAAAAAAGCCGAGATCAGCAGCCTCCCCCCAGAGTGCAAGGCTCAGGGCTGTTCACCACTCTGCCCCCCAAGCCCCCCCCCCAAATAACATCCCTGATACTACCTATATAATTACACATAGTAAGATTTTAAAAAGTAACAGAATAACATTACTCCCTGAGTGTTACTCAGTATCTGAAATCATGCTTGTCTTCACTTGCTCAAGTCCCATAAGTTAGTGAATAACAGGCCTATTAATAAAAATGTACATAAATAAGTCCATGAGAAGAAGGGCAGTTCTGGTCAAAATATTTGTATTGTTTGCAGAGTGTTTAATTTTGAGAGATATTTGAAACATTGTATTCATTTTGGGTATAAATGCCGGCAGCTTATTACCGAGATCATGTGTTGCTACCCCTTCTGGGTCATTAACATACTTTCTTCATTGACCCACTTCCCATCCTGCTACCTGCTTTTTTATTTACCTTTCCACACAGACACACCTACCAGTAGGTGGCGCTATTCCTCCAAACAGAGCAGGCTATTACTTCAGCTATATGTAGTATTGTCGTTATAAGCAGCATCCATCCTTGCTGCTTATCCTGCACAGAGTTATTGACGTATTAGAGCCTAATCCAGATGACAGAGGGTACAAGACTGGGCACAACACCCTAGACAGGATGCCAGTCCATCACAGGGCACGCACAACCCTTGGCATTCTAACAACACTAATTAGCCTAACTGCATGCGTTTGGAGTGCAAGGCGGAACCTGATGCACCAGGACTGGGACGGAAATCACATGACACGAGGGGAATATGCAAGCTCCACACACTCGAACCCTCAACCCTGGAGGTGTGAGGCTGCGCTGCCACCCACTGAGCCCCAAACCACCCATTACAAGTATTTTTGTCTATTTATTTGTCTACAGAAAGAAGTTGCAACCATTATGACAGTAATGTCTGCTTACCTACTTTTACAGTCTTTGGCTCCTCCCTCTAGCTTCAGTGATTGGTGTTTATTTTTTAATGGAATATACATTCATTATAACAGTTAATGAAATGAATGGGATAAGTGTGGCCTGGGAGAGAGAGTGAAAGCGGCTCATTGCACTGGAGGGTTGAAAAGGAAGCTGCAAAAATTCCGAAGGGGAGTCCCTGTCCCCCTTCCAGATCTGGTGACGGCATTCCGATGGCACGGTGACCTTCTTTAGCTCCACTGAGGTTCATCCAATCAGCTTTCACTTTACCGCATTTTTTTTCCCCCCGTCCTCACTGGCAAGACAATTTCTTATTACATATTTCAGCTTTTCGCTGCTGGGCTGTTACCTGATAGGGATCAAAATTCACGGCTTCTTTTCAGATATTCCTGTGAGGAATGTTCTGTATGACTCGCCGCGAATAACTAGTCTTATATTTCTTGGGACGAACAGAATCAGAAAAATGAGCACATGGCAGACTGTACATGAGCCATCCACTGAGATTAAGAAACATATCATTTTTTATTAGCTGGTATCATTAGCATACTACTAAGACAAGCTGAATCGTATTTGGCGGGTTCCTGTTTAACAGGCATGTCTCCCGTAAAGCTGTCCGTTCCCACTCTTTTTGCCCAAATATGGCTGTGTTTGACAGGGCAAACAGGGCATTGGCCTACAGAACTGACAGCCAGGTTCAAACACTGGCTGTCAATTTATAGGTCATCATCCTGCGCCCCAGCTGCCACAAAACCAGAAACATATTCCCTCATGCAAAATTAGAGCCACATGCTTCGTATCACATCATGGAAAAACAATTTTATATATATATAGTTTTATGTAATAGTGCTACACATAAATGTAACAAAAATAAAATTAACCTTTACAGTTGAAGACATTTACTTATAGTTCACAGGCACAACCCACATGGTTTAGTGTTTGTGTTATCTAAAACTGAAACCACATTATGTTGTTCGCTAGCTAAACAAAAGCTAAAAAACAGTTCAAAAGAAATTTGATACATCTGTTTAAGCACAGATTATGTTCGGTAACTCTTATATAAGTTCATTATTTGTTAAGCAGCATAAGAGTAAATGCTTAGGTATGTGTGAGATCCCATGGTAACGGAGGTGACGCAGGGGAACATCCCGCGTGACGAGTTATGGGTGTCTGTCTGCTGGTAACAGCAGCCCCACTGGAACACTGACAGGTTCCACATGGAGTTGCTGTTACAGTAGACAAACACCAGGATGTGGGGCCCCCGCTGGGAGCCCGGCCGACTCGTGTGGGTCACCACTCAGGCCGAAAGGCATACAGAACCATCCGCTGGCCGAGAGGAACGGCTTGCCCCACTGCATTGTGTCCTGAATGAAAATAAAATAATGGTTAGAAGCTAATAGGGAAGGACTGGAACATGGGCTTGGTCAACATCAGCAGGCAGAGGCCAGCCCTGAGTTTGACTATGACCCCTACTGCCACCATCTTTACAGCCTGCTGCAGACACTCCCTTGGTAAGCAGAATTAACATGGGATAAGGGCCACATTGATAACAGCATTTTTATGGTGGCTGTCAGCACAGGAGGGAACATGAGTCAATAGGTTCAGCCAAATGGGGGTGCCCATTGCCCCCCCCCCCCAAGGAGTGTGACTTCATAGTAATTTTTTATGAATCTCCTCACACCGATCCTGTAGTAACCAACCTTCCTGTTGACTCTTATACTTCTGCAGCCATCTCCCCTCACCTCTTTCTCCCTCCATCTCTAGACTTTGACATGCACTCTCTCCTTGCTTATAAGGGACAAAATCGTAAAGTAATAAAGGCCAGCACAAAGGTTCTTTTGTTCCCGGGCGCTGTCACATGTTCACTCCTCATTATCGCTCCTTTGGTATTTTTTCCCTTTTTTTTCAACCAACAATGTATTCGTCCCAGCCTGCCCATCCATCAGCTTTATTAATAACGCAACACAAACCAGTCTTTTCTCTTCCATGACCATAGTGCAGGGCACAGTGATACTGAATGTCTATCTATCCATCCGTCCATCCATCTTTTATGACAGCACTGGGTCACGGTGAACTTGAGCTCCCAGGAAACGCAGGGCATGCGGTACGGAACACCCTAGATGGGACGCTAGCCCGATCGCAAGCATTCACGTTATGATCAGTTTAGTGACATCTTGTCATCTGAACACCTGTTTCTGGACTGTGGGAGGAAACAAAAGCACCAATATGAGTAATATGAAACAGCCCCCCCCCCCCATACACACACATAAGGCCGGGGGGGTGTTTTAAACCCCAGCCCTAGATTTGTGAGCCTACAGCACTAAAGACTGAAACACCATATTGATATTAGATGACCAGTATTAAAATGTCCATGTTTGGCTTTGGTTCTGAACTTCAGAAACACTCCCTCCAGATCTCAATGAGTAACCTGAATGACTCAGGGCTAAACTACGTCGCTATTATTTTATACTTAGTCAATAGGAGACACGTGACCTTTGGTTTGGAAGTGAATGAAACCATAAGTGTTAAGTAGGTTTTGAGTTTCACGTCTAGGCTACTAATTTCATGCATCCGGTCGTCATGCATCCAGTGTTTTCCAGGAAATATCCCAATTTTTCAGAAATTGTGAAACAGGAATCATTTTGCCTTCCACAAATCATCTATAGACACTTTCACATTCATAGTGAACCTACTCTGTAAAGCGTTACCTGTCGGTTAAAAAGTCTTCAAACACAGTAAACCAGGATAATAGAAATTGATTATTCCTCTTCTGTCACCTATGGCTCTCGAAATACTAACGTCCAATGAAGCGTCTGTTGTTTTTTTCACCATAAGCTCAGAATGAGGCACTCGAAAGGTAGACGTGAATCGGTTACTCACCCCTGTCGAGCGTCATGGCCAAAGATCCCGAGGGAAGCATTCGGGAGAGTGTGAACGAAGGAGGGAAGAACGGGATGGAGAGAGAATGACGAAGGTGCGGGGTCAGAAAAAGGCCCAAGGTTCGAGGGTGGACAAGCTCCAGACGACGGCGGACGCGACGCGAAAATGTAACACTTCGTACGTTGGCTGTGGAGAAAGATGGGGTGGCGGCTGAGAGTTTGGGAGAGGAACTCTTCTGTCAATGGAGTAAAAAAGAGGGGGAAGGCCAGCCGGTTTAAGAGAGGTTGGGAGGTGGAGGCAGTTTAATGATTAGACAGCCAGTCAATATTTAACAGGCGGGAAGCCTTGGCCCTCAACCCAGCATCCTGTACCTATGCGACACATTCACCCTCGCAGTGATGCATTCTCACTCTCTCTCTCTCTCTCTCTCTCTCTCTCTCTCACACACACACACACACAAGCATGTAAAACAAACCTTCTACAACATATAAAGGCAAAGCACCCAAACACAAGAAAAATCACTATACAAAACACACATTAGATGTTCAGTGGGTTATGGCACTATGATCGGAAGGTTGCTGGTTCAAATCCCAGGTTTGGCAGATTTCACCAACGGGCCCTTAACCCCCAATTGCTCCAGAAATATCCCCCTGAAATATCCCTGCCACAAAATTCATGGTAATAAACAAACATTCAGTGATGCATGACAATCACATGCTGCTGGAGCGTAAAACAAAGTTTGCACGTGTAACTTGCCAATTAAGGACCAGCATTGGGCCCTGGAGCTGACTGGGTCACACGGAGTGTGAGGCAGTCGTGAATCTGCTTAGGATAGTTCACTGGCACAATGACAACAAAGTGTTCCTCCAGAAAGAGGCACCATGATCTTTAAGCTGAAGGTAGGAGAATGGGCTGGATATCTGCTTTTTGTCTGCCCGTGCTGGGGAGTGTGAGAATATGATCACAAGGAGCAAATGAGACCAAAAGATAAAAAAAAAAGTAGATCCCTGAATACAGACAACGATCACAGCGTATTGGTGGCCATTAATGAAAGTGTCTCACCTCAGGTTCGTTCAGTTCGGGATGGTAAAATTTTGCCCGGCTTTCGGGTGGCCCGTCTTCGACCTTCGACCGCAGTTCGCAGTGTTTGCTTTTTTCCTACTTTATGGCGCCTATAAAACGGTGGAGTTTGTATCCGTAGGGCTGAAGATTGTGCGTGAGAATGACTAGTGTTTCACATCAGTGCTGCGGTTTATCGGAATCGTTAAGACAAATTCGTTGCAAAGCTACATCGCGTAGCAGGCAGGCGGAGCTGGGGGGATTAAGGTGGACTTTTGTCCATCATATTGTAATTGTTTGACTAAATTCACCAGCTGAATGGGAAGCCCCCCCCCAGTCCAGAAAAACCTGAACCTGTATCTGCCTACCGTGAAGAAACACGGCCATCTTTAGAAGCATTTTTTTTTTTTTAAAGCATCAGAAAACTTATCAGGTGACCAGGTCATCACATACCAAAGTCCGTGTGCCGTTGGGTTAGCCATTTAGAAGCTGTTTGTGAAGTTGTGAATCACTGGTTTGTCAGCAGACCGTCGACACTGGCTTACGAATAGAAGGAAGCATGGACACTCTCTGAGACATAATCAAATAACCACCAGTGAGTCCCCAGATTTGCCCCCCCCGTCCCTCATTTTCAGCTCGACCCCCTCATATTGGGGCTAACCACACGGTTACACTCTGAATTTGATTAATTCTTGGACTTTAGATCCTATGCTTATCAACTGTCAATACAACACTGTGCGTTGAAGTCTGACAACGCTCATACTTAATTATAGGTATAAGCAAAGGTTTGTCCTTAACAGGGTAATTTCCTGGTGGTTCCGATGGGGAGTGAGGGGGACTCTGGACTTAGGACGAGTTTTACGATGAGGTAAATTAACTGATGAAAGAAGGAGACCACAAGAACATGAAAATCACGTGTCTGGATTTACAACTTTATACTTCAGTGGAATATACTTTATACTTTATACTTGGTATAACCAAGACAAAGCAATTTCCCTTTGGGATTAATAAAGTTCTTTGAATCTTGAATCTTGAAAACTGTAATGGATTACAGTTCAAACCTCACAGAAACATTTCATTCTTTTGTGGATTATGACTAGTTATTGCTAATTTCAAAGTTGGCCACTGATTTGTTCATTCTGATGCAGTGCCAGTCAACCTATCAGGCTACCTAATGTGGCATCTTCTGAGGGGTCGCCAAATTAGCAAGCCAATTTCACTTTGTCTCAGACAGGGGGCGCCGACGATGAAGAGTGTCTACGGCACTACGCAGGCTTCGACAGATACTGCTGTGATGAATGCATATATGATGTAATCCAATCTATTGAATGTATTTCGGGATTCCTGCCAATCGGTTTTGGTGACTCGAGGAATTCAGGAGCTGAATCTGAGTCGGCCACAGGGCTTGTGTGACACTGCACTGCACTGCACTGCACTGCGATCTGCGTGATTTCAGGCAAGGGGGACAACACTGCGCGGCAGTGAAACGTGCGAGTTAATGCGTTTTAACCTCGTTCATTCAGGCTCCTGCAATCGCACGGAGTGACCTTTGACCCCACTGCGCTCGTTAAAACAGAAATGACAACTTCCTCCACTGGGAAGGGGGAACATTTCACCTACCCACGTCCTCCCCCATGTTCAAAAAAAAAAAAAAATTAAAATATGTAAAAGTATTCTGTTCATTGTCCCTTTGTCCTTTGAGTGGTTTAAAAAGCATAAAGGATAGTATTTTTTCATTGCGCTATCATCTCTTGAGGATTAGGCTAAAACGTCAGAATCCCTTTCATTACATTACTGTATAATAAAGTACGATATACTTCATTATTACTGTAGTTAATGTCTTACTGTGCGTAATTTATCAATTGTTATACATAAGTACAAGAAAATCACATTTTATATGTGGTCCACAGATGGTTTGATGTTATTCGTGGTTTCAGTTCGCTGCGGTCGCTCTTGAAATGTATCACTTGCAGATTCCAGGGCTCCACTGTACTTTTTCTACACCTTTGCGTTCCATGGTATTTCGGTTTTTAGTTCATAACATTTACATATGTCAGCATTCATAATAACTTTTATCAGTAACACAAATCGACAGCTTATACAGAATTCCCCAATGTCCTAATCTATTCTCTCATTCCTCTGGCATATCATTGACTTAGGCCCAATCCCAATTCTATTTTCTACCCCTT